CTCACCTTTAATGGCACAGCCTGCATTGCATCCTAAGTGTGCTTGTTCCCACCGGGCCTTATAGAAGTGTGAGTGGCGCCAGGCCAGGCTGGCCAGGCGGACCAGGCAGGCGGCCGCACACACTGGAGGGTCCTCTGCCAGAGGTGACCCTTCAAACCTCTCTGCTGGAAATGAGGTGCTGCAGCTGCACAGGGGAGTCACAGAGTCGGGACGGGAGCAACACGGCGTTCAGTCACATTTGCTCACAGTGTGGATCTGCTGTGGATCTGGTGTGCTGTGCCGAGTCGAGTCGCCGACCCCTCTGGCCTGGAATGAAATCCCGTGAGGAGCCTCTCCTCTGTTTTGTGCCATTCTTGACGTTCTTTCTGTAGCGATGAAGAGAAGACGTCCTGAGGGGATGAAGAGTGGCCGCTTTTTATTAAAAATGAAAATAAAAATAAGCAAATTACCCGTCCCCTTCAGGGGATAGTGTGCGGACGAGCTTTCAGGATAAATGGGCAGCCGGCTGAGGACTGTGCTGACCTTTTGTCTGACTCTTTTCATGTTAAAACACACTCCATCCCCCAATCCCCCTTTCTTATTCCGAAAGTGCTGCCCTGTGTGACACATTAGTGTGTGTCATGACAGAGATCATAGAACTCATGTCTCTGGGCATGAGTGCTCATCCCAGAGACATGCATCCTATAGATAAAGGCCTGCATATTATTGAGTTAGGGATGCAGAACAAGTGAAGTAATAACTTTATTTTTATTTTTTTGCATTATGCATAAGACTCACAGGCGAGCATCAAATCTTTGAGGGGAACAAACAGGACAGACTGAGAGTCGTGGCTGCAGTAGCGGAGGGGTAAACAGAGGAGGATTTTCCTGCATGAGCGTTATAATATCAGACAGAATCAGTGAGTGAGAGATCAGGCGGGTTAGGAAAAAGTACAACTGACTGGGTAAATAAATGATTGCAGTAACAGGAAGCAGACACGAAGGTAGGGAGACAAAATGAAAGAAAAAAAGAAAGAGGAAGGTGACATAATAGGCAAGGATATACAGATAAATATATGGTAGAGAAGGGAAGCAAAAGAAGATGGAGAGCAAAAAAAAGGGGGGGCTTCAAAGGAAGCTGGAGCAGGGTGACTCAGTCATAAACTAACACTCTCAGTCAGGATGGAAGCATGGCAGGGCAGAGAGGAGAAGGGAGGGAGAAGATGCAAGAGGCAGAGGGAGCTGAGAGAGAGCAGGGAGAAGAAAAGGAATTCATGATGAGCTTCTGCTAGTTTCTTTCTTGGTTTTTTCTTTTTTTTTTTTCTCTGCTCATTCTTATGTAAAACACCTTGATCAGAATACGTTTTGTCATGCGTTTTGCTGAGAATATTTACAGCTGCCGGTAATTACTCGCGCGGGACGAGAGGGGAAGCTTTATGTGAAAGCAAGTTGAAGGGATCAGTGTTGGGTTTGGTTTATTGGGACCGGTTCCTGAGCGACGATCAAACGGAAGTGCAAAGGCTTTGCAGCAGGTGCAACGAAGACGGCGGTGCTCTCTGCTTTGGTTTTCACTAGAAATGCACCGATTAGAATTTGCTTGGATCGATTATTGATTTTTGTGAAAAATTCTGACAATCGAAATTTTTCCTTTTAGAAAATTATTACACATGAAGTTCTGACAGCAGCATTGAGGATGTCTTCTCTAGCCTTCCTGCCTTGAGTAGTCATTAATTATTTACAGTAGGAAACGAGACGGCGTCAAACAGCGTGTTTCTGAGATCAGTAGCTTTAAGGCAGGGTTTTACTGTTTTTAAAAAAAGACAAAATCATTATAGAGTTGACCTTTTAAACTGGCTTCTACATTTTCCATTAGTGATTGCCGTGGTGGGACTTAGCATCTCTAACTGGAAACAGCAGTCTCCATTTATATTCTCAAGTACCACGTCAGTAAAAACAAAAGTTTTTCCAAGTATACAAACATCTCAAGAGATTTTAAAACCACAACAGTGAGACTTGTGCTTCTCTAATTTCTGGGGTTTTGTTACAAAAACGCAAATGGAGGAAAAACCAACTTTTTTCCTATTGGCGCTGTCTCGCTTCTCCATTAATTTTCAAGATTAAAGCTGGAAAAGCTTGGAATTCTCTGGAATTGTGCCACGAATGGTGACAGCATGTTGAAGTATTTCTGTTACGTTCTGTCGTTACATTCATATAGTCTCTGCTGTTAGCATGTTGCTAACTAACTGGAGATCCTTCCAGTCTACAGCATTACCATCCACACAGACTCTTTGAAGATATTTGGACGCAATGAGTTCCGACTTCCCATTGGGACAATGTTATTTATTCTGTTCTACTTATCAGGTTATTAATAAATAGTAACGTATTTTTGAAATGAATTGAAATGAAATGGAAATATAAATTAGAATAAAAATGGGGGAGACACAGGGGTTCTCACCAACCCAATCGTCGAAATCCAGTATTGTTGGCTTGGTTAAAAAGCATAGTGAGAGCTGCAGTTTAGTTGAACTCCTGATGTCTTGGCAAATGTCTCTCACACACAGTGATACATATGCTAGTATGTTAGTGAGCATGTTTGACTGAATAGAGAATAGATTAGAAATCGTCTTCTATTTGGCAGAATAGACTATTTCTATTCTATTGTATCAGCATCAAGTTAAAGAAAAGTGGTATAATAAAAAAATACGAACAAGAATAAGAAACTGTGCAGGGAGGACACATTTAAAATAATTCTGCACAGGTTTTAGAAATAGCATACTCAGATTGAAAGAAATGTACAACTGAGTAGAGTAATTAAAAAATGTACAAGATGTGCATGGAAATCTTGTGCACAAAAAACAAGAGACTTCACAAGAAGTAAAACAAACCTGAGATGTGCAAATAGCAGCAGGGATGTAAACCTATTGAATTTGTTGGAGCAATGATGGTGATGGAGTATAACAGCTGCTGGGGGGAAGGATCAGTGATTGCGCTCATTTGTGCACTGAGGATGCAGCAGTCTGTCACTGAAGGAGCTCTGCAGGTCAGCAATTGCTTCTTGCATATGGAGGAAGAGGTTGTCCAGCTTTTATTTTAGCCATAGTTCTTCTCTTTTCTTCTCTTGAAGAGAAACACATTGTTATTAGCTTACATTGCTGATATTAGTTAGCCTGGTTCATGGCATGCTAATTAGCAAAACCAAAACCAGTTCAGATTTTGAACAGATTTTGAACGAGTCCTGGTTAAATTTAATGTTGTTCCCAAACATCACAAGATCAGGTTTCAGATGCTAAGAGAAACAAAGTATTAGAAGCTACCAGGACTTGTTCCTGGTTCACTGCCATCCACTAAACCACATTCCTTCCTTCCTTTCTTCCTTCCTTCCTTCCTTCCTTCCTTCCTTTCTTCCTTTCTTTCTTTCTTTCTTTCTTTCTTTCTTTCTTTCTTTCTTTCTTTCTTTATTTCTTTCTTTCTTTCTTTCTTTCTTTCTTCCATCCATCCATCCATCTATCTTCCACTTATCTGAGATTAGGCCAGGAGGCACCCTGATCAGATTCCCAGACCACCTGAAATGAGTCCTTTCAATGTGGAGAAGCAGCAGCTCTGCTAGCTCCCTGTGAATGATGGAACTTCTCAGCCCATCTGTAAGGCTGAGTCTAGCCATCCTACAAAGGAAGCTCATTTTGACCGCTGGTATCCAGGATCTTGTTCTTTTGGTGTTGATGCATACCTCATGATCATAGGCGAGGGTCGGAACATGAGTGGACTGGAAAATGGAGAGCTTTACTTTTTGACTCACCACAACAAACCAGAAAAGTGTCTGCATTGCTGCGGATGAATCTGTCTCAATAACAAATTTTGCTGAATGATAAATGATAAAGTGTTCTCATGAGAGAGCTCATCACGAGCTCTCTCTCTGATTTGGAGCTTTTTGCACTGATGTATATTTGATTTATTCAAACTGTCTTTAGTTTTTGGATAAAAATGTTATCCAATCAGTTGATGACTTTACATTTGCTCCCTTTTTAATTCGACGAACTGTTTCACTCGAAACAGCCGATAGAGTACTGTCACTTGAGAACCTCATGGACCCTTTGCTGGACTAAATATTGAATATTAACTTAAAAAAATCCAATTCTATTCTGCTGCTTCTCATCTGCTTGGATAGATAAACATGCTGTTCTGTGTACACTTATAATTTTATTTCAAAGATAATGTTTCATTACTGTATTTACACCTTGTTACAGTGCCAATGCCAAAAAAAATCAATAGATGTCGGTTTAAATATCACATGCGGTGATCTGTGGAAGGTGCTTCAGAGCTCACAATGTGCTAGTTTGAGTATTTATTTAGATGAGGATGGATGCTGTTATGATTTTATTCTCACTTTAAAAAAAACAGATCAATAAAAGTCAGCATTGACGTTTTTTTTGGTGTACGCTGTGCTCTCTTCCAGGTCCTGGTGGTGTAGCACTAGATACCTCTAAACTGGATCTGCTTCCTGCCTGTGATTTATCAGCCACCTTTGCCCTCTTTCCATCTGTCCATCATCGCTTCATCCCTGTCTGCGAGTCCACCAGCATGTCTGTCCGTTTGTCCACAGACCAGCCGTGACCCTGGAGGGAGGGGGACAGAGACGAGGAAAGAGTGGAGTCGCCGGGGAGACGGAGGAGAAGAAAGCTGGATTCATTCAGACGTCACGTCTCTGAAGTGCTCCTGCTCGCTGTCCTTCATCCTCCTCACCCTCCTCCCCCGCCTCCCTCTGTTATGGAGATTTAAAGAAGCAGTGGGAGGTTAGGTCAAGGTAGATAGGAGGGGAAAAAAACACAACCACCACCCCTTACGAAGAAGTGAAAACAAAAAGAGAGGAAGATTAATTCAGTCACTCGGTTTAAACAACAATAATAATAATAATTTAAAAAAATTAAGCGCACATGAACAACCCTTCACCTGCCAGACGAAGGAGGAGCTGAGTAGACTACGGAGAGAACGGACAAAAAATCACATCCAAATTATCTTTCTGACATGTCAACAACAGCAACAATGGGGGAAATGGCAAACAGCGCTGTGGAGTTTTATCCCAAAGGGACTCGAGGCAGGGGCGGAGGAGGAGGAAGGGCAGATGGCAGCCTCACAGGGGGAGACTTTGGGGTCACGGTGAAGGAGCTGAGGGAGCTGATGGAGCTGAGAGGAACTGATGCCCTACAGAAGATCCAGGATGGCTACGGAGACACAGAGGGCCTCTGCCAAAGACTACAGTCCAGCACCACTGATGGTGAGCACACACAAGGCCTGAATGGGCTGACAGACAAACATGAATGGATGCTGAACTAGATTGATGACTTGTTAAGAGCACAGACTGGTACACACTCTTAAATGTGTCTGGAAATGTCTTTAAACTCCATGTAAAATGTTTAACGTTGCATTCACAAACGGGTGAATGAATTGTTTCGACGGGCATGTCTGTGCTGAATGAAAGCGTAGCAGCATGAGCTGAAACGATAGTACAACTGTGAAAGCTGCATCCAAGTCATTTGATCTCTGGTATCAACATTTGGCTCAAAGTGAACGGCACAGACTGTAAACACAACACGCTAAAAACACAGACTGGAAATGAGCATTAATGTCGTTTCAGGCCCGGGTTATTCCTGCTCAAGCAAACTGAATTAACTTCAGTGCATCCTACAGAATGAAAGCACTTAGGACAAAACTGTAGAAACACACTTCACTTGGGCTGGGTAATCCTGGTTATAGGAGGCAGTTTTTGGGTGAGCAGCATGCATACGGGTGGATGGACTGATTGATGAGTGGATGACAGGATTATGGTGGATGAATGAAGGAAAAGCTGAGAGCAAAAAAAAAACAAAAAACCAATGGGTGAATGAAGTAAAAGTGTGTTACTGTGGGATTAACCAGGAATCTCAGACAGCTCCAACCTGCAGATGTGCATCAGTAAGAACGGCCATGGCAAAAAAAAAAAAAAAAATGGATTTCAGCAAAAGATCTGAATTTAGCTACAATACCAGTCCTGTTGAGTTCGCTTCTGTTGAACTATAGTTTATTTGCCTATAAATTCTGGTTTCTTTGAGGAGGTGTGAATGCTTAATTGAACTTTGACTAGACCAAAAAATTGAACTCTGGTCTGTCTGAAAACCCAAGTCTCAGTTCGGTTGAAGTGAAGTCTGGTGTAGTTCGAATGCATATGTGAACACTAAGCAGACTATAGTGCAGGGCATTCTGGGTAAATACAATCAAAACAAATGTGCATGTTTGGCGCTAAGAGGAGAAATGGCTCATAGTCTTTTGCCAAAGACAAAAGAGAAAATCTTACATTTGCTAAAATCTGATGCTACTCCATTTTTGTTTCCATTTTGTGACAAAGAAAGTTGCACTTAGTGTCTTCTTCAAACGTTTTGTGTAATTTCCTTCAGTGATGGTGCAGCGCCTCCACAGGCCAGAGGGGAACCGTTTTGTTTGACTCAGTGCAGTGTGAAACAGAATCACCACAACTGAAAATGTAACAAATGTTGCAATTTTGGTTCTCAGTCGAACCAAGTCTATCAGACTATCAGGTGTGAAAACACCCTTAGTTTTTCTCAGGTGGTCTTCTATTTTAACAGTGAATCTTTGAATATCGAAAGGAAAATAGATAGTTTTATTGCCTATTGAGTGGTGGGCAGAGAGGTCCTTCATTGTTTTGCTGTTGAACTTGCTTGGTCGTCCACAGTTGTGATGCAGACATTTACTTTGTAAGACAAACGAGAGGGAAAATCAGAATTCAGAGTGAAATCTATAGAGCATGTTGATTTTCACTGGTCGAGTGAACCCGATATTGACCCTCAGCCGAAGGCTGTTTTATTGTTGCAGCTCTTCTTTCCACAACTGTAGTTGAAATGTGCAGAGATTTACTGAGGCCAGCTGACTTAGGTGCTTTACAGTTGTATTGGCCCGCCACATTTCATTAAGCATCCACTAACATTAACATCATGGATTTACTTGTAAAGCCGAACGCTGAGACACTTTTGTGGATGTATTTTCATTGTAAGTCAATAGAGGGAAAAAAGCTAATTGCACAGTGGAAGGCTATATTTAACCTACTGCATGGTTTCATTTATACCAAGGACTTACACCTTCTTCTGTTTTTTGATGATCCCATTCATATAGCCTTTCACTTTAAATTATTCAACAGTATAACAACAAAAATCAGAATGATGAAAGCATATTAATATTTTTCTTATGTACCAACTCAGTAGCAGTGTAAAGTTATGGTAAAAGAAAAGTCACACTCATAGCACTGGAGTTTTAATGTATACATAATATGATCTTTAACCACACAGCGTGTTCCACCTCATCACTATTTACTAAACAAAAATGAAGCCAAACTGGAAAGCTGTTTATGAAAAACTATGTGGGTCCTGTGATTCCACAGCTTGTCGAACCTTTAAAAGCCTTGTCTGAACGCTTTTCTTAGGCATGCACAAAATGATTGTGAATCAATTTTAGCCCCTTTTCTGGACATATATCTTAAAGTTATTTCTGAGAATGTTTTCTACACAGCTCACTGCGCAGCTCACTTAAAGTCCCAGGGCAACATTTCTGTCATGCTGTTGAATATTTGCTGCTGTGTTTGTTGATTACCCAAAGCTGAACTTCAGCTGTAGGCCACTGTGTGTTAAGAATCTTGTCAGTCTGTCTTTACCATATAGTGTAGAAATTAAGTATTTGGTATACTGGAAGTTTTTCCACTTCCAAAGAATGGAGAGATTTGTCATTTTCATCATAAGTGCGCCTCAACTAGGTCAGACATTTCCTCTAGTTTTTGACCAGGTTTGCAGGCACTGCAGCAGGGATTTTGGTCCACTCCTCCACATTTATCTTTAAGGTTTCAGCTCCCTCCAGAGTTCTCTATTGGATTCAGGTCTGGAAACTAGCTAGGTCATTCTAGCAGACAAGGTTGTGTTTTTCCGAAAGGACACAAATGACAAAGGCGGGTAGAGTGGGAATTGAACTAGTGACCCACTGAACTCCTACCACCATCGTCATCGTCGTTCCTACTGTCTATATGACCTCTCACTTATTGACAACTGAGGATAGATAAACTTTCAGCAGGAACCAGGTTATCCTAGGAATAAAAACTGAATGGATGTTAGAAAATGTTTCCAAGTTGAAACCATTTAACTTGAAAATGGTTGAAAATTGAACTTTAACATGTACACTTGATACTAGATTTTAAAGACCTTGGTGCATTGAACCCGCCACCTACACATGCAGGTTACTTCTACAAACACTTATTTAAGACTGGATCACTCTCAAAGAGTTGAGTGAATTGCAGTGTTGCACCATGACATGATGCTAACAAGTCCAGTTGAAAAATTTCCTTGCAACTAAATAATTCACATCCAGCTATTATCAATACAAAGAGGAAGCGACGAGGAATGAACAACAAAAAAGTGGTTGCTCATGTCAAATCATAGCGTTGGAGTTAGACACATGGTGTTCAGAGGGCACCAACTTTCTGCAGAATCTTCATGTTGCCTTCAGATTTGCTCAAGAACCAAGTGTAGAGAGCTCAATGGAACGAACGGGTTTCCATTCCTGAGCAAGTCTCACACCACTAAGTGGAATGCAACATGTCAGATGGGTATGGCTGTTCCCTAGCCTGGTAAAAACCAGCCCCTTGTTCTACGCTTTCCTTTGCCCAGAGAGTCTGGATCTTTGAGTGTTGTGAAATAATTGCTTCACAATAGCGTGAACTCTGAATGAGAGGCGTGGACTCTGTTGAAGTTTGAAACAGTTGGATCTGGTTTTACCCATATGCTGATGTTTGGCTGTGACATAATGTGCTTGTGAGGGAAGCTGCGCTATGAAGCTTACTGGAAATTGCCTGCGCTGTAAACAACATTCTCTGAGAAGAGCTGAGTCAAACAAACATATCGGCAGCAATAAAATGTCTTAAACATTCCCCTTGCTCCAAGTTTAATTATGCAATATTTGGAAGCATGGGCGGCATGATGAGTGAACGGCTTCGTTCACCTCCTCTATTGCCTTTGTCATCATCATAGTTCACAACTCCTCCTGTTTGCTGATTGGCCCGATTGAAATGAATCCTGAGAAATCCAGCTCAATGGGAGAAATCCCAGGTGTTGCACTGAAGAGACCCAGACCTTCTCTTATAAAATCTGTAAATACGCCTCCGGGACTATATTCCAAAATTCCCATCAACACAAGGGTATGGTTTAGAGTTTTATCATAATATTTTGTACCATTGTGATAATAATAAAATTGATATATAAAAAAATATTTCTTATTTTCAGGTAGCTGCATGGCACAGCAAATATTTCTATTAGAGATATGATTTATATCACTTAGCTGCACACTTCAGACTTCACTTAATCATATTTATGAATTTACTGATACTTATTGATGCTTTCGTGGGGCAAAAATAGTAAAATAAATATCTTATTTTTTTTAATACATTAACTGACAAGGATACATTTAAATTCTTATGACAAGAAATTTTCATGAAAAATGACAAAGATACAATCACTGCCTGTCTTTGCCTGTTCATGTACTGTAAATGAGCACAGTGGTTCTAACAGGGGTGTGGTAACACGCTACGCCCACTACCTCAACTAGTTGTAACCTAGCAACACAACAGTGGCGACAAGTTGGCTCACAAAGTCAGCAACAGAAAGAAGGATAATGCCGAACTGTCAGATAGAGAGAAACAGAGATGGATGAATAAAGGAGGCTGAGCGAAAGTGTGTGTTTAACTGCAGCGTCTGTGAGGTGTGTGTGTGTGTGTGTGTGTGTGTGTGTGTCTCTGTGAGTGAATGAGGGAGGTGGAGGAAAAGTGTAAGGGGCTGCTGGTGTTGAGTTACAGTAAGTCTGTGTTGAGTGTTGCTAATTTGATACTGTGAGTTGGTCAGGAATCAGTGCAGCAGGTCCCAACAAACGCATCACAAACACACACACAGACACACAGACTCATGTGTCGGCAGAACCACCTACAGAGCACAGTTTACCCACAAATATGCATAAATGCTCCTCTCCGGTAACTTCTTTGGAGCCACTGCTCAAAAGCTGCCTGTACGAACTCGAATCAGAACCCAAAACATTTTAATTTGCTGCTGATCGGCTGCATCCTCTGCTTCCCTGAGTCCAAAAAACAAAAGAAAAAAACAAACAGACTAAGGGCTGGATTTGGCAGATCCGAAGGTGAAATATGGATACATGCATGGATACGTGACAACGCACTTGGTCCTGTACATCATCTGTAATGTGATACATAAAGTAGGATGGGTCTTAAACCAACAGAGTGAAAGCCCATTCCCTCTCTCTGACACATATGGATACACCAGCACTGCGGTACGAGAGCATTACATCCACAGCAAACAGCCAGAATGTAGGAGGGACAGCAATTTGGAAGAGGGAGTGAGAGACTGTATGTGTTTTAAGAGGAGAAAGCTAAGGGGTGAGGAGGGAGAGCTTGAACAGCTTGCCGCATTGTCAAGGACACATCAAGGAGAGATTGAGAGAGAGGGAAGAGAGCTATGGAAGAGGGATGAGAAAAAAGAGAGGAGAAGAAAGAGAGCTAATGAAAGGAGGGTACGGCTCTCTGCGATTACTCAGCACTGGGTCACTTGTTTTGTGTCGCTCCTCTCTTTGCCTCGGCCTGAACCCTGTTGAGTGTCAGAATTCCACGCAGCTGCTCTGCTGCATGGAGTCCCTGCAGCAAGCATGTTTCATCCAGGATGGAGGGACAGACAACCGTATCAGCCAACCGCAGCTCACAAATCCCCGCCTTCCTCAGTGCTGGTAGCCAATCAGAAAAAACCCCAGAAAGAAAAACTCCTCTCAAAACATTCAGACTGGAGCAATGACATCACCTGTTGCTGGGCAGAAACCTGTTAGACACAGGAAGCCCTGGACCTAATATCCCGGTCACCTTGGAAACTGCTGAGGCTGAAGGGGAGAGGAAGTTGAGGAGGCTGCAGATTGAGGTAGACTTTGCAAAAACGTACATGTTCTCAAAATATTTATTTAGATTAACACATGAGCAAAATACACTTGAAATACAGAAAGAGCTCTTGGCCTGACTCTTTGATTTTGTAAAAGAAATTAATTCATCCATTTTCAAGACCCACTTAGCCATTTTTAGGGTAGCAAAGGAGCTAGTGCAGTAAGCAATAAATCAGTTAATCACATCATGACAAATTAAAGCGAGCTCAATAATTTCTATTTGCATACTTGTTTTTTTTCCTTTTCTCTCTCTCTCTCTCTCTCTCTCTCTCTCTCTCTCTCTCTCTCTCTGTCTGTCTACCAAAGGAAAAACAAAAGTCAACAGGCTGGTGCACTGGTTTCCTCTGGACTCTTTTTTGAAGAATAGTTTTGTTTATAGAGACTTCCGTATCCATTTTATCAATTGCGTTGAGTTGTTTGGTTCATTTATTTTAGATATTTAGAATGTCTTTCAGGTCCAGTGTTAAGTGTTTGTTAGAACTTAATGTTTATTGATCTTTGAGTGGATGTACTGGCATTATTATGCTGTCACCTCTGTTTCTATTACAGAAAGGACATAGAAACAGGAGCCAATGGAAATTAAAACAGACAAGATAAGCTTATAAAAGACTCTCGCAATATGATAACCATTACACATGAACTTCTAAGAAGAACGTATAAAATGGTCTAACTTTTTACATATAAACAGATCGGCAGCAGTTATTATCACTGCTACCATAACACCATAAAATACTGACTATAGTAGAGGGTTCCTAACGCAAATTGGTATTGATGCTTACCCTGCTGTTGCCAGCTTAGCAACCTTTCAGACAAAAAAAAATCAATATCAGCCAAAAACATTTCCAGACTTTACTTTTTTCATTGTTTAAAAATTCCATCCATCCATCCATCCATCCATCCATCCATCCATCCATCCATCCATCCATCCATCCATCCATCCATCCATCCATCCATCCATCCATCCATCGATCGATCGATCGATCGATCGATCGATCGATCCATCGATCGGTTTGTCCTTATACCAACCATCCATCTGCCTTGCGCCCCTCAGTCTTTTTTCAGGTTTCATTTTCAAAGCCTGACCTCTGTGGAAATAATTTCAGAAGTAACCTTGCTATTACATTGTAAGAACCAAGCATTCTGGACATTTTTGTCTGAAAAATGATGGATTATAGAAAGCTGATTTTGATTGGGTACTTTGTCAGCCCATCTGCTCAGGTAGAACTGGCAGCCACCTGCTTACCAAATGTGCAGCTTGGACCTTGGTATTAAAGCAGTGTTAGCTTAAGAGTGTTGGGTGGTGTCTCTGTGTGACTGAGTACATTAACATCACTAACTTAGGTTATTTAAAAAAATGGGGCATTTTGTTTTTGAAGTCATATTTATTTTATTTATTTTTACCACATTATTCATACATCTGGTTCCAAGCTAAATATTTAGTTAGCCGGCTAAATATTTAGATCTAAGCTAGATATTTAATTAGCAAGCTCCAAACTAAATATGTAATTCCAGCTCATACAGTATGATAACACAATTCAGCATTGATTTGAAGTGTTTTTGTCATACGACCTGGATGCCATTAAAGTATGAGCCACAATTTTGCATACACATATTAAAATTGAAGCAATGACAATCTCAAGAAATCAGGCATGTCTCTATAGCAAGTGTAGAAATAATTAAGTATTGATTCTCAGTGTTTGGATCCCCTGGAAGCCTTTGATTTTTGGGGTCTATTTGTCTACATGTTTCAGCCGAGTGTAATTTGTTGACGGTGCCTAAATGGACCAGTATGTTTTGGAGGGAATGCATGGCGTTTCTGTGACAGCACCCTGCATGAAAAACCATCACTGCCTCTATAGTTAGTCATGAGGAGAATGTCTGTCAAATATCCAACTTAAACTTCTCCGTGAGTGGAAAACTGGACATTTGGAGTGAAGGAGATGGATTATCCAATCAAAGTGGTCCGGCCACTATTTGACTCCTCCCACTTTCACAGTCCACAGCCAGCCATGGTACTTGAGCTAAATATTTAGTTTGGATCTTAATAATTATGGGTGCCATTTGTTACACAATCAAACATTCATAGTAATAATTTGAGTTATTTAGTCTCTCATAAGAGAAATAAATGGAGGTTCATTTTCAAAGTCATATTTTTGCCATGTTATTTATGCATATCTGAATGTCACAGTTTAGACTACTTAATTAGCAAGCTAAACTAAACATTTAGTTAATAATCTGAATATTTAATCAGAGTTTATATTGGGGCTTGCAAGACTCAGGTTTCATTTTGATAGAGCACTTACAGTTATCCGCAAGTGAATTTGAATATTAGATAAATATTTAGCTTTAGGCTAAATATTTAATTTGCTAACAAAATAAAGAGTTTTGAGCTAATTACATAATTAGTTTGAAACTGTGACATTTACAAATATATGAATAACATGTTAAAAATTTGACTTTGAGAAATGAGCCCCCATTTTTTTCTCGTATGGGCTAAATAATTTGGGCTAAAGAGCCCAAATTAATTATTGCTGTTAATTATTACTTTTTTGACTGTGTAACTATATAAATGGGATCCGAGAACATCTGGCTCTGAAATTCTTTAATTCAAGTGAAACATATAGTCGCTGTCTTTCGGCCGCTGACCGTAAAAGCAAAGCAACAGGTGGGGGAAGGGCAGGGCTTCATTCAGCTGGAGGAAATTCAGGTGTGTCTCCTATTTTATAGAAGGTGTTTAAACTTAGTGAATGGTTTGATGGACTTTTTGTTTTTTTACTTTGTGTTGAATGTGTTGATACTGTCAACTGATCAATTGATCTCTGTCAGTGTTTTGTATTTAGTGTGCTCCCCTGATTTCTTCATTTATCTGTGTAGAAATAAACTGCTGCCCAGATCTGATTCAGGTGGAGAATGCTTTGACCTTTTTGCTGACTTCCTGTTGGGTTTCTCTTTCCTGCGTGTGTCCTGAAGACTAGCTACCAGCTACTGCGGGCGCTTTGTCTTTTTTCTGCTGTACTTACAACAATTAAAATGAAAGTTGGAATATTTTAGATCAGTAATTCATAAAATCTCACTGGCATTAGACTGCTAAGTATAACATACGGAAGCGAATCATGTTGCGAAAGCGAAAGTTGGATGTGATTTCACTCTGGCCTAATTTTTGTTCTGACCAAACATTTTGGATCTTTCAGGTCTCAGCGGCGACCCGGCAGACTTGGAACGTCGATATCAAACTTTCGGCCGGAATTTCATTCCCCCGAAGAAGCCCAAGACATTCCTGGAACTAGTGTGGGAGGCTCTACAAGATGTCACCCTCATCATCTTGGAGGCTGCCGCCATCATTTCACTCGGCCTCTCTTTCTACCAGCCGCCTGGGCAGGAAAGTGAACGTAAGGACGAGGATGGGGTTGGGAGATGTGGGGTCGGGGCATTGGTTGGTTTTTGTGGACGTGAGAGATAAAGGTGATCTTTACACTGTAAGGTTTTTACATGAGGCAACAACACATACAAGCAAAGAAAGGCATTTCACCACAAAGGCATTTCTGAGAAAAATATTTAATAAGTATTGAATGGACAACAGGCCTCAGCTATACACAGCTGGAGACAGATTGTGAGCAGCCAGCAGCTGTGCAAAGTGGCCAGAAGATCTATTTTGCTTCCATTTATTCACAGTGGAAATTAAAGAACCTCAGTGTGAGACACTTTGGTTTGTAACTGTGGTTTAATAAAAGGGAAAAATGAATTCTGCTCACTAAGCCTTGCGTTAGAGAGCAGGGCTGGAGGGATCGAGCTGAAAGGTTACAGAAATATTAAGATGTTTAAATGTAGCAATCTCTTTAAACTCTAGCTTAAAGAGATTGCTACAACTCACAAAATCTCAAAGTAGTCCAAAACTGTTTTGTTCTATTTGTAAATTTAGCAAACGACTGAAATCTAAAATGTAATTTTAGAGTTGTTATTTACTGTGGTTTGAAGTATCAGTAATAGCAATGGTTTCTAAAATAGTAAATGAGTCGTGCTTACTATTTAGAAGACATAAAACAATACAAGTAGCATATAGTAAATTGTACAGTTTAGTTTAATTTGTCTAACTAATTAGTCTAACTTCTGTTTTGGGTCTGCAATCTTTGCCTTCTTCTGAAAATAACATTTTACTGTGCTTTAATTCTGCCCCGTCATATGTGGTTGTAGTGAACGTAAACTACATCAAATCATATTGATGTTCATAAATTAATCACTCTCATCATGACTTTGCAAAATTGATCTGAAAGATTAGCATTTCATACAACTAATGAACCCCGATGACAATCAGACTTGTGTGTGAATGGTTAACAGCTCATTCAGCTTTGGGAGCCAAGAGTATTGTCACAAGATTATAGTGAGATGAAGGAAGCTAATAAAAAGAAAGCACAACTAATGGTGGCGGCCATTAGCAGAGCACTGACTGCAACTTCTGTAGGGAAGTCTGTTTGGGTGAGGAGTCAGAGCCATGAGTGGTGAAACTGTGATGTTAATTGACTTCTTTCATAATTTCATAATATAGTGTTCAGCCTGTGCTTACATCCCGATTTACCTGACCTGGCTTCTTTTGATGCAGAATTATGACGCATGTCTCACATCAATGACATGAAAGTCAGAGAAAATGCGATATGACCGTTCTGACTGCAGACGCTTCGAAAACAATCACATTTCATTTAGTATTACATATGTAAGTGGCACAGATTGGATGTTTTGAAAAGATTGGAATTGAGCCGTTGACAGATTGCAGTGAAAGATTTGGGTTTGGGTTGCATTCACCTGCTGTGTGAACAAAGTCTTAGTGTCAATGAAGATTCCACTTCCAAAGGTGGATCAGCCAGTTGGGAACTAATTGACCAATCGGTCGCAGATTTGGGGAAAACACGTAAAAGCGATCGCATGAACAGCTAAATATGGACATGGCTTACTTTCACAGTCAATGGGAAAATTATAATTAATTCTAAACTATTTCAACACATTTGCTGCTAGGTCATTAATCCAGATTATAGATAATGTTTGTGTTTGACAGAATCTGTATGTTGACCTTCTTGGTGACATCTTGGTTAAACAAATTGTATTGAATAAAGCAAAAAAAAAAAAAAAAAAAAAAAAAGAAAATTTTTTTTTGATGAAGCATTTGTCTTACCGTATGTCATCATGTCGCAATTCTGGAGGTAATGTCAAGTAAATTATTTTTATTTTGTTTTTGGTTGTTATTTATCTTGTTTTGTTGTATAACAATAAGTAGAAATTGAAATAATATTGATAAGGAGATACAAAAGGCCAAAAATAAAGAAAAGTTCAACTGTGGTGTACTGGTGAAAAAGGAAGTGGTCTGAGTGAACAGAGGATGCAGATATGGGACAATGTGGTTCAGTAGGAAACCTCAGAGTGTACACTTGGTAGCAGTGCACATGCAGTCTGCGAACCGCTGCTACGCAGCCAGTGTTTTGCATGAAGCAAGCATGATCCAGCAAGCTGGATCTGGATGGATTTAAACTGTCAAGTTAAATCTAAACTGAACAAGCAGCTCTGCTTCTTTTGACAGTGAACGGCTGCTGGGAACCTTTGGGAAAAAAAAAAACACCAGCAGGTTCATGGAGAACAGAGCTGATGTATTAATAGCATAAGAAGATTCATTTGCCTCTTGTGAGGTTGCCATGCGATCAACTGAGTAAGAAAACAACACGGCTTTTTGTCGGAAACTGCTACTGGTGAAATGTTGTTCTTCCTCGCTTTAGGTAAAACCTTTATTCTTAAACTAGGTGACATTAATGCACAGTAATACCAGAATGTGCCTGCATACCTGGCATGGCATGCTGATGCCGGATCCGGCCGCAGAGGAAATTCAGATCCCAGAGAAGGAGAGAAGAGCAGCATCTTAAAAAAAAAAAAAAGCTGTGAGACATTCTCTCTCTTCTGACCTTCTCTAAGATGAATAATTGTACAAATGTGTTGAACTTACATAAACGATTATGCTGTGCTTGAGATGAAATTATATAAGAGCAGAGCATCAACCATAAATCGCATTTAATGTGTCATTTTCAGGAACAGTAGCGGACTGGTTTTCTAGACTGTTTTGAAAAATATGTACAGTTAAGCCTAAAATTATTCACACCCCTGACAGATAATTTAAAAAAAATTACTGATGTTTCTTCTGACTAGAAATATTAATGTTTTGAAGTGGGCCAATTAGAATCCTGACTTAATCTAACCACATCCCGGAATCCGTAGAGGGAGTTAAAGATTAGGGTGATGGCAAGGAGAACATCCAACCTGGAGCTTTTAGCAAAACACATATCAGAAATATCAGTGGAAACGTGTTGACTACTCGCCAACAAATATAGGAAGTGTTTGATTGTTGAATTGCCAAAATTTTGTGTGCAAAGGGTGTAAAAAAATGTATAACAACACAATTTTGTTAAAATGTAGATTAAAACAGAGACGCCCCTATCAGAAGCACATTTTTTGGTTGAATTAAAATAAATTTAAATTAAACCAAAATATGTTGTACATTTCCCTAGGCTGTGAATAATCTTTGGGTTACCAACACATGAAAGCACTTATGTTGGAAATTAGGTCATTTTACCACATAGTGTGAGAGTACGGAAAATAGGATGAAGTCATATAGATGTAGAAGGACGATGGTTCATAATTTAAATTCAAAGTGATCATGAACCAAACGAGGCCACAAACACGACATCATTTAGCAACATTTATTAACCTTTTTAAGAAATTTATGTGTATATTTGATAGAAATTAAAACTCAATATAGAAAATGTATCAGATATATCCATCTGTCCATTTTCTTACACCCTTGTCTCTATTGGGTTTGGGAGGGGCGCTGGTGCCCATCTCCAGTGAGACATTTCGGGCAAGAGGCGGGGTCACCCTGGACAGGTCGTCAGTCATAATACATCTGATACCATCGCAGGTATCAGATGTAATATGATCTTTATTTCATTAAGAAAGGTAACTAGTAGGGGTACACCAACTGCAGTTATCTGTCTGATCATGGATCATGTTTAAAAGCCTGACCTGCTGATTGGGATTTTGGATATCGATTTTCTTGAAAAGTCGGGAAAGTTATATAGAGACACAGTTGCTAAGTTGGCAACAGTAGGGTGATTGTTGTCAACCTTCTTCATACAGATGTGACCTGTGTACAGGTCTGTCAGCCAGACTGTCTAAGTGAAAAGCAAAATAGGACAGTGGCTGATTTTCAGACCTTTGCTGAGGCGGTTAAAATTGGTGGATAAGATCGGTTTCTATGTATAACGTAAACTTCCACTGTGAAATTCTGGGTGAAATATTTTTTCTTTCATCTTTACGTGGCATTATCATTGTTGATTTTACAGTTAGAAATGATGCAGGGGTCAACGTTTTACTGTAAAACAAAATGTTTTAACTTAAGAAAAATAATGTTTTTCCAAAAATGAACACAAAAACAATTTAGAAAATTAATGCACAAATGTAAAATGTACAAATTACTGTTTTCACCAATGAATTTATTCAAGGTAACAGATCAAATTTGTAGTTTTGAATTGCTTTATAGTTTACAGATTTTTCATTTCACTATTTTACTAAGCCTATCTCCTAAAATTAAAGAAACTGGGGTTAATTTATGGATTTAAGGGACCACCAATGGAAATGTTACACTAGTTGGTCAGTTAGTAGAGTTTGACTGAAATGTGTGACCTAACGTCTACAACTCCTCTCTTCAGTGTGCGGGGAAGTGAGTGGCGGAGCGGAGGATGAAGGGGAGGCTGACGCAGGCTGGATCGAGGGCGCTGCCATCTTGCTTTCTGTTGTGTGCGTTGTCCTGGTGACGGCGTTTAATGACTGGTCCAAAGAAAAACAGTTCCGGGGTCTGCAGAGTCGGATCGAGCAGGAGCAGAGGTTTGCGGTGGTTCGGAAAGGAAACGTCATCCAAATTCCCGTGGCTGACATGGTGGTGGGGGACATGGCTCAGGTCAAATACGGTAGGGGAACTGAATCTGTCTGCACCATCCTACATAAGCTTACTGTTTCCCTCACATTGAAAAGTTGTTTAGAAAGTATAAGATAAAAAAAATTATGCAGATGATGTAGGAAAATTATGTAATTAAAATTACATGAGTTTGGTGTTTAAATGTTTATGGAACATATGACTCTTTTTCTTTTTCTGCTTAAATATGATGTCACAGCAAAAGAACCTTGATAAACAAGTTATAAAAAAACATAATGTTTCATGTTTTTTTGTGTATTTGAATGAAAAAATATGGGAAGTTCTTCAAATGAAGTTGCATTGAAATCGTGTTATTTTGTTTTTCTCAGATTATAAACTCATTAAGTTGAGTTACGCCAATCAGAACTATGTGACCATCATAAGTTGCATGTTTTGAGAAACTTTGACTTGCCAATATCAATTTGAACCAATTTCAATATCTCTTTAAGAGTTATGACATAAAGACATAACAACAGTCTATAAAATGTATTTTTCTAGCCTCGCTTCAGTGAGAGTTCATTAATTATTTATCTTAGAAGCAAATGTGACGCCATGGTATGTTTGTGGGAGTGGAGACAAAAGTGTTTCACCTATATTTTAAAAGAAAGACAAAATGCAACTTTTGTCTTATCAAAAGTTGCATTTTGGACAGCTTTAAAGTTGTGGTTATTAGGTGTAGCATTACTAATACATCAGTCTCCATCTGCCAACGTTTCCAAGTCCAGCTTGTTCCATGACAGAGAGGCTAAATGGCATTATACTTTCCTTCCTGTCATCTTCTGACAGTCTTGCTCTCTCTCAATCTCTCACAGTGTGAATGAACCACGTATTTAAACAAGTTGAAAAACTATTCATTTAAATATCCTCCTACAGCTTCTGACTCTATTTTTGAAACAACTAATTCATACGGAAAGCAGTATGAATGAATTTAGTGCAATTTTTTGGCTTCTGTTCATAATTTTCCTCCTTTGTTCATCAAACTTACATGCTTTTCCTGTAATATTATTTAAGTAGTTAATAAATAAATTACATTCCTGTTTAGTCACCCAATGTTACAGTCTTTGTAAATATTCAGATTAGCCACAACTCTCCTCTTCCATATGTTTTTACATTGACTTATTTTTTCACTTAGCTAAAGTCATGTTCATAAACATCTATATGAATCTCCTGTGAAGGTTTAGTTCTTTACCTTCTTCCCTCCGACTCTTAGCCAATTTCCTCATTAATTATTCAGTCTATCAATGGTCTGCTGGTCCCTGTAATATGTAATGGTATCCACTTCTTAACACAGGAACAAGATACTCTATATTGAAACAATAAGCGCATGCTTGATATCATTTGAACAAAAAAGACAAGCATACAAAGCTGATTGAGATGGGATTTGTGCCTCAGGTGACCTACTTCCAGCTGACGGTATCTTGGTCCAAGGCAATGATCTGAAGATAGACGAGAGCTCCCTGACAGGAGAGTCTGACCACGTACGCAAATCTGTAGACAAGGACCCCATGCTGCTCTCAGGTTGGTTCTGACTCCTTGCTACTCTTATGATCAAGTTAGCTTCAACTATATCATTTATATCTACACTACATGATTTGATTGTTTTTAAAGAACATAGTTGCAAATACACACTTAGGTCACTGAATTAATTAGAATCATAACTCACATTGTCAACTAGAAAGGTATGGATTTAAGTTGATGGAAAGTGCTGGGCATGCAGCTCTACCACTTTTTATTTAAAAGTTCCTTGGTGGCACTGGAATGAGCAACAGTGATTGAGGTCAGATTTGTTGGTCAAAAGAAGTCACTTATTGTTCGTTCACTCTAGGTAGGATTGCATATAAACTACAGGAAATGATAAGGAGTCATTTCTGAACCACAGCAACAAGCTGCTCTTGCAGAACGATAAATTCAGACACCCTGCCTGGAAACCTTCTGGCCTTAAAGGGGCAGTGTTATGTTAAATTGATTTTTATACGTTTTACATCATGTTATAATCTCGTTCCTTTATCAAAAATATGCCTGGAGTGTTGCTTCGAATCTTTAATGGAGGTTTGAGAAATCCTTTAATCTCCCATGGCAACCATTCAACAAATGCTTGCTCTAACAAAGCTCCACCTATTCCCAGAAAGCTCCTCCTCTGAGCTGCAGTCTCCAGCAGAGCTTGTGCCTCACAGAGTACCCCTCGCTTACAGCTCCCCCACTCAACTCCTCCAGACTAGCGGCAGCAGCAATTAGCAAACAGCTGGTGAAACTATGAGTTCCTATGATGAGTCTACTGAGCTCATCATAGGAACTACTTTTTAGTGCAATACTCCTAAGAATGGTAGAGTAGCATTGTTGTGATGGCATATTGTCAGAAAGAGCAGGAGCCTCTTAAAGAGACAGAGGTCAATTTTAAGGCATTAAATTGCTAAATCTAAAATTTTAAAGTTACTTTAGATATATACAGAATTTTTATAACTTAAGGTAACATACTTACTTGGCTGTGCTATAAAATGGCACTATCTGCCTGGAAACTACATAATACCGCCCCTTTAAGAAACTTCTCTCTTCACAGTTTTCTGCTTGTGTGTGTTAGTGACTTTGTTAAAGTGAGTTTCCATTTTATCACTTAAAATTACAGTTGAATTGAAAAACTTTTCATATCCTAATTTCAAACATAAAGCAGTTGCCATGCATGTTATTCTCCACAAAGCACTGCATTAGTTTGGACCCATAATGCTGTGAGACAGTGATGGAGGTTCAGCTTCCTGCAGGAAAACACCAAGCACACAGCCAGAGCTACAATGGATTGACTTAGATCAAAGCACGTTCAAGTGTTACAATGGCCCAGTCAAAGTCTAAACCTAAATGCAACTGAGAAACAGAGACTTGAAAACAGCTGTTCACACATGCGCTCCATTCAATCTGACTGAGCTGGAGCTCTACTGTATTTAAGAGAGTGGGTAAAAATTTCAGTCTCTAGATGCGCAAAGGTGGTAGAGACAAAGCAAAAGATCTGGTTGTAACTACACAAAGGTGAAAACCATGGATCAGTTATGCTATTTTGTGTTGGTCTGTGACATAAGATCTCAATAGAACACACTGAAAAAGTCCAAGTGGACTGAATTTTTTTTTTTTTTTTTTTTTTTGCAAGGCACTGCAAATAAAGGATGAACATATAAATGCAAGATTACACCTTATTACCGTTATGCTTCATAGCAAAACTTCATAAATATCTCCTGTCTATGAACCCGATGTGTTTTTCTGTTAAGGAACCCATGTGATGGAGGGCTCAGGTAGGATGCTGGTGACAGCCGTAGGTGTCAACTCCCAGACGGGCATCATCTTCACCCTCCTTGGTGCAGGAGACATGGAGGAGGATGGAAAAGAAAAGAAAGGTAATCCACCCTGCGTTGAGACACACGACACACACTGTAAAACAGCGGTTTACAGTCAGAAAATAAAAACTTTTCCTCTAGAGATGCAATTCCACTTATTTGTAGTTTTGCCGGCTTGTATCAGTTTTTATTTGAGTAAATTAATTTCTAGTCATGGTCTTAAATGAGTAAGTATGACTACAACACACCCACATAAATGAATTAATGGACCAACCACAGAATTAGCCCACTCATGCCTAAAGCAAGAGTCCTGGTTAATGACTGAGCCTGATGATGATCTGGAAAACTTTAGTATAAGGAGCCTAAAGTTAATATCCAGAGGTGTATTTCTTTCCACTAACTTCAGTGCAACAGTGACAAAAGCACAACTGAGTAATGAGGTGTGAGGTCCCACTGCAGGGTCTTACATGTATATGACATTTTTTGAAAAGTGCTGTTACACAAGTACAGTAGACTCTACCGAAAGTCTCAGTGGTGTGTGCACCACTAACTAAAAAATTAGTAACCCTACAGCAATTAGCACTTGAAGCGAATGCTAAAGTGCTAAAGCGCTCAATTCAAATTATATCTGCCCTTGAAAATTACAATCCTCAAGGACCAATTTAATTTTGATAATCAAAACAGATGTCAAACTCTATTCGACTGAAAGCTTAGAACAAAGCTCGAGTAAATTAGTGCTTTAGAAATTATCCATAAAAATGTGTTTACGTGAAACTAAATGGGCAAAAGGTTTTCAAAGTTAGCAAAAGTGCTGAACAAAAAAAAAATAGCTCAGCTAATTAGTGGCAATGTGCCCACCACTTTTGAAAACAATGATGTTTAAACCTATGGTCTTTCCTTGGGAAGAGTGTTTTTGTAAAGGTGCAACTGTAGCATGACTAAGTAACAACTTACAACGAAATGCAAAAACAAATAGAGTTTTACTGGTAAAAAGCTATTCTTCAATTGTATTTGGTCTGAATTTACAGAAAAGTTTGACTTGAAGATTAACCCACATACAATATGATAATTAAGAAGAAAGGAAAAACACAAAAGCGACCACAACCACAGAGCATTCCAATAGTAATAGCAACTAAAAAGCAAAAAGACGACGCATAAAGCAATCATCTTTGATACATAAAGCTAGATGATCATCTTTGCTTTATGTATCTGCTAAAAGCAGGCCATCATATAATGACCATAAACAAATCCAAAAACAGCTCCATCAGATGCAACTCCCTGCAATAAGTCAGTAAAAAATACATCACACATGATCCTCCAACTACTTCCTGTCTTCTTCTTCATGGCTTGTGCCAGTGGCAGCATCGGGTTGTTGATCGTGTGACTCGTGTAATGTGGATAAAGTGTTTGCACCGCAGTTTTACGCAATAAACCAATTTTCATGCGGCTAAAAATCCACCTCATCCTAGCATCAAAACTTTTTAGTGAAAAACAGGAGTTTTGTTCAAAATTGGCATGTTTCCATTAAGTAAATTTATTTTTGAATGTCACATTGCACAGTCATTTGGTCAACGCAGCTTGTAGTTACTGCTTGCTTTGTTGTTGTCATTCCTTTTTCTACTATAATTTTTCCTTCCAATTAATACTTGGACATTGTGTAAACAGTTAGCTTTCGTTGGTAGTGATCTTTTGTGACTTAACCGAATAGTGGCCACACACACGTGACCATCCACACATGAATTCTTTTATTGGTCTAAAATTAAATGTTAGAAAATGACATAATTATAAAAAAAAAAAGATTCAATGAGTAGCAGGCCATCATTTTTTGTGCCTTTCCTTCCCTCTGGGAGTTCTGCCTCATGGATAAGGGGAGGGGAACAGGTTGTCACTTTAGTGCCCTGAAGCTTGTTGTTTTCATAATCCATGCACACTCTCACGTTGCTCCACGTGTGTGTGCTGGTGCTGCAGTTAGTCAGATGCCTTACTGATTTCAGATAACAGATATGACAGGAAGCATGCCCGTTTACACTAATAGATCATTTAACCAACGTCCTCACCATCCCCCCTCACTCTCTCTCTCTCTCTTTTTTTTAGATCTTTCTCACTTATCACACCTCCTCACAGCTTCTTCCCTGTCTTTACTCTGCTCATCCACACCTCTCACTCCTTGTTTACCCCATTGTTCTGCCCCTCTTTCCACTCCCCTGCTTCTCCTTCTCCTCCCTTAATTTGAGCGAAAGAGAGGCTGTAGATTCAATCAATTATTGAAAGAGCAGAAGGGGAGGGAGGGTGAAAGGGAGTTGGCAAGGAAGAGATTGAGGGTAAAGCGTTGGTTGGTCAATGCTCAAAGCATTAGTCTATTCTCAAATCTGTTTTGGAAGTGCCCTGCGTTCAGGCAGCGCAGGCTGCACAGACTTTCAGAAGCACTTATAGTTAACGTCATTAGCAGCTTCCACTGCGGCTCTGGCTTCTGCACAGGAATGTATGTGCTACCATTGGCATCTTCGAAAAGAGAAAACATCATCCTGAAACGCAGCAACAGACTGGCTGGTGATGGCTAGTTTCTGAAAGAGATACTCTGGTGACTCCTCTTTCTGTTCTCGGATATGTATCTGCGGTGCTTATCGTGAGCTGGATCGTTCAGGCTGTCATGACTGAAGCTGATAAATGATTTAAATACCGTAACATGCTAGCTTTTCCTCTCGCCATGTTTGTTTTCTTTTCTGTCGTTCATTGTCATGCTGAGGGAATATCATATTACGTCTTTCATTCTTTGCAGTCATTTTAACAAATACTCACGTGTAATTATGATCACATTCATTGCTTGAGTTTCTTCTTTTTTTCTCCTTTTTTGCCAAATTTCCACCCAAAACTTCTCTTTCTCACAGAGGACAGTACTCAGTTGCTCATCTCTGCAGATGCCACTAACAGCACAGTCACCAATGGTATGTGAGCATAAAGTTATCTGCCCCGTCCCTTTCCTCAGTCAGTGAATGGATCCCGCACTGTACAGTGACAGTGACAATATGATGGGCATTTAACAATGTCTTTCAGTTTCCTGATCGACTGTAATAAGATGAGTGTACTTTGCTTTCTCCTTCCTTTGGTATTGTTTCTGTGTGTTCATTTTCTGATTCTGGAAGTGTGTGATTGTCCCCAAAATCAGAAATGTGATATGTTTGAGTGTAAATATACTTTTGTTTAACTCAGCTTTAATTTTTTTCCCCCCTCAGGAAAACAAGCTGATGGAGCTGTGGAGAACAATCAGAATAAAGGTAGAGGTTTTTGTCAATTCGGTTCAATTCAGTGTAAAGTTCAACAATATGTCGTCTCAAGACGCTTTGCAAAAACAAAACAGAACAAAAACATTTAATTCAGTCCAGTCATTCAGACAGATTCCAAGTCAGATACATCAGTTCTAGTTGATCCTAGTTGTCAGTCAATGCAGTCAAGTTCAGTTTATTACACAACAGAATACTCTTGTCTTAAAGCAGCAGTATGCAACTTTTATATAAAAAATTAAAACATATTTGTTAAAACTGTCACTATATCATAACAATAGAACATAAGACATATAATCTAAGAAATCCTCCATCTCCTCCCTGAGATTCTATTGCACCGCTCTCAACCAAAGACAACCAATCAGAGCCAGGAGGAGAGTGTCCGCTCTGTCAGTCACCTGCATGTATTTCCTGCCCAACGTGCTGATAGAGGTGAAACAACTTACTGTTACTGGAAAACCATTTATCCACCGACATTGGTGGCCACGCTAATTAGCCTTAGCATTTATGACAGGTTATGCTAGTTGCGGCATAGCAAAGAGAAAGGATGGGAGGAACAGGGTGGAATGAGCAGCGCCACACGGAGGGTGACTGACAGCGCTAAGACCTGCCTCCTGGCTCTGATTGGTTATTTCTAGTTAGTACAAGAAGAAGACTTCAATTGTTTCACAGATTATCAGTCTCATATTACGACATAGTGACAGTTTCAGCAAATATGTTGAAACATTTTTTTTTATAAAAGTTACTGCAGCTTTAAAAGGATGAAATAAAAGTTGTCTTTAAGACAAGCTTTTAGTTAGAATTATTGGATTATCAGACTTCCTAGATTTCCTATACCAGGCAATTGTCAGCATAACAATTAACTTTTTTGAAAAGTAACATTAAAAATTGTGTTTTCTTTAAGTGCAAGCCTGGTGGAGACGCCTCAAAAGACTTCCAATTTTATTTGAAGCACTAGTGTAAAAACCTCGCAACTTTTACCTTCCACTGTACAATTATGCACTGTATGGTGCTGGTCTATCACATCGTTTCTCAAAAAAGTTAATTGAGGTTTTTGGTTGTAAGGAGACACAATGTGAAAATGTCCGGGGCTACGAATGCGTTGGCAATACACTGTAACCGAGCTTTAGGTTGTAAGTGAATTTTTTAAAGTAATCTTTTATATATATTTTTTTTAAGTTGCTACTTCAGATTTCAATTCGGAGCTGAGTACGGCTGTGGCACTGACCTACTTCATCTTAATGTGCTGAAGTAGAAGTTTATTAAATGTTTTCTTTTGATGTGTGTTTTTGTCTAGCCAAGAAGCAGGATGGGGGCGTTGCTATGGAGATGCAGCCCTTAAAGAGTGCAGAGGGAGGAGAAGTGGAGGACAGAGAGAAGAAGAAGACCAGTGTCCCAAAGAAAGAGAAGAGCGTGTTGCAGGGAAAGCTCACCAAACTGGCTGTGCAAATCGGCAAAGCAGGTGCACAAATCAGCCTTTAATATGTTTATGTGTGGTTGAATGGAGTGCTTATTAATTCAATTCAGGTTATTTATAAAGTGCTTATTAATAATATGTAAAGGAGCATCAATGCATACAAAAGTAAATTCCAACTTCCTTCCAGCTCTAATATAATGCAGTCAGTTTCATTTATAATCCTGGTAGGTTAAATGTTCACTAGTTAAGTTAGATAAATGTTTTATAAAGCCTTTGGTACAATTTATGGAACGTAAACCAGAGTACATGCAGATTGACGTCTGGCCAGCAGACAGTTTTGTGTTAATTCCTCCCTAATTTTGTGTTTCCTTCCTCCTTGTGTATATATATATATATATATATATATATATATATATATATATATATATATATATATATATATATATATATATATATATATATATATATTTTTTTTTTTTTTTCTTGCCCTTGAAACTATTATGCAGTGAAAAAAATCATAGTAATACTGATTGACTTCCAAATACTGAATTTTGCTGGAGAAACGCTTTCACTCATTTCACTTTTTTAACTCCTCCCCAATAACATAAAAATAAATTCACATTGTCTTTTTATAATTTCATCCGTATGATGTTCGTCTAGCACATTAGCCAACAAAGACTTCGATCATGTAAACTATACATATCTCCGTTGGGCTTCACTCTGGGCTAGGCCTCTTTGCTCCATCCATAAACAAACAAACCAATAACAACTGGGCAGCAAAAATCTCCTCAGAGTAACCCGATAGCTTTAAGGGTTGGAACTTCAGCATTACGTGGAAAGGAAAGGCGAAGCATAATCAAGTTTAAAATGAGGGGAAAGACATAAATGACCAATATGTCTACTGCCACACACACACACACACACACACACACACACACACACACACACACACACACACACACACTAAGGAAGCACACCATGCACGCCTTCAGAGAAAATGCTGCAGCTCTTTCTCTGTGAAATATTTAAAGTTTGACCTAAAAAAAGGCTCTAAATCTTTCATTCACCCACAAACAGAGCGTTGACAAAAGAGCTGTTGAAAATGGCATCATTCAGCTCTAAGTCTTAAAAAATATGGGCTCATGGTCAAACAGCTGCAACCTGGTTCCACAGGAGAGGAGCTTGGTAGATAAAATATCTGCCTCCTGTTCTAGTTTAGAAACTCAGTAAACCTGCAATCTGATAGCAAAGGGCTACATTAGAAACATACAGAACGATTAGATCTGTGGCACATGTAATAACTTCATTATTAAGGGCTTTATATTGTATGTTGGTAGGCAAATGCTGGATTCAACAGGGAGCCAAAGACGACAAACAAAAATTGGACAAAAATTATAATTTTTTTCTGTTTAATTCTCGTCAGAAGTCTGGCTGCAGTATTTTGGATAAGCTGAAGGCTATGGTTATGGTATTACTGTTGCCTTAATTAAGTCAGGTAAAAATTAGGGATTTCAAAAGTTATTGTAATTTTTTTCTCAAGAAAAATAACTCTGTGTGTATGAGACAGATCCAAGTAGGAAAAATGACTTCATAACTGAGGCTGGGCCTCACTGTTTGGTATTATTAGATTTACAATCTGCTTTTTCTCCATTTGATGTGTACAGCTCTAAGCAAAATGCTTCGTAACTTGCTGTTTTTAATTTCACTTCTCTTTTCTCCCTGCAGGTTTGGTGATGTCAGCCATCACTGTCATCATTCTGGTGCTGTACTTTGTCATAAACACATTTGTCGTTAAAGGTTTGTGTGCATGAACCATTTTGGCAGAACAATGACGAACACTGGCTACTTTAAGGAGCAAACTTGAAATGAAATTGTTTGGCTAAACATGATCTCCGGTTTGTGTTGCAGGTCATACATGGCTACCAGAATGCACTCCGATATACATCCAATATTTTGTCAAGTTTTTCATAATTGGCGTCACTGTGCTGGTGGTGGCTGTCCCAGAAGGCTTACCTCTTGCTGTCACTATTTCTCTGGCCTATTCTGTGAAGGTATAGCCAACACACCTGGTTCATGTAGTTAGCCTGTACTCCAGCTTTACACTAGTAGGTGCAGACACTATCTGAAGTTGTCAGTGTGATGTTTAAAAATCCTTTCTGGTTTTGTATTGAAAATCTCTCTGTGCCTGTTAGTGTTCCAGTTAAATACATTCAGGACAGTTTGTCAAACATGTTTTAAAGTCCTTGAATTAGTCCTTCTAGAAGTTTGTTTATGTTTAAAGTAATAAAAAAAACAACTTTGCCCTTTTCTTCATCTTCGTCCTGTCCAACATCACATCTCTCCATGCACTGATGAACAAACTATCCATCATAATTTACTGCCTCCTCCTCATCCATCCCACTGTTTTCCCTTGATATCTCATAACCAGAAAATGATGAAGGACAACAACCTTGTACGGCATCTGGATGCATGTGAGACCATGGGGAATGCCACGGCCATCTGCTCCGACAAGACCGGCACGCTCACCACCAACCGGATGACTGTAGTGCAGACTTACATAGGTGAGGCAGAAGAAAGTGCATGTTAAAGATTAAAGCTGCATATGCAGGGTTAGACAGAAGAGGACTCCTGTTGCATTTAAGCTTATTGTTTTTTTCCCCAAAGGGTAGATATTCTTTCTACAAATCTGTGTCCTTTGAGCTACCTTGTTTTTATTTTATTGTTTTTGCTACACAAATTGCTGTCCATACCTACTGGCAACTCTGGTAAAGATTCTTGACCAGTGCTGAAATAACTGGGTTCTCTATCAATCAATTATGTTTATAGACAACAAGGCAGAACCAGAAGACCTGAGGGCTCTGGAAGGTTGATACAACAGCAGCAGATCTTTAATGCATTGTGGTGCTAAGCTGTTCAGTGATGTATAGACTAACAGTATTTTAAAGATTATTTTCTGAGTTTCATGGAGCCGGTGGAAGGACTTTAGAACTTCCACTGGTTTTAATGTGAGCAGCGGTGTTGTCTGATTGATTTTTTAGGCAGACCTGTGAAGACACTGTTGAGGTAATCAATACGTCTAAAGAGAAATGCATGGATGAGTTTGTGTAGATTTTGCTGGGACATTAATCTTTTAATTCTTGAAATGTTCTTCTGGTGATAGAAGGCCGTCTTTGTAACCGTCTTTATGTGGCTTTGAAGGTTAAGGTCTGAGTTTATTAATACAGATTTCCTGATGACAGAGTTTCAGAGAGAGTAGGAGTTTTTAAAGGGAGAGAAGCCCAATTTCAAGGCATTAAGTTATGAAGTTAAATTTCTTTTTAACTGGTTTCTTTAGACACTTTAAAGAAACCAGTTTTGTTAGGGCTTTGTGACAGAATGATGCATCGTTAAACTGGAAATAACCAAAAGAAGATGGGCACACTGTGGCTGTAAGAAGGAAATGGTCAGCAAAAATATGCAAGTATGATGGGATGTTCAACCTCTGAACTATCATGTGGACACTTGTGTCCCCTACTATGTACCTTGGTGGTTTTGAGTAGCTATGACTGGTTTCCATCTGACCGTTCTCTTCACACAACTGCTGCTTATTGGATAGTTTATCTCTTTCTCTGACCATTCTTTCCAAATGATGGTGGTGTTTGATGCTCTCTGTAGACCAACAGTTTTGTGAAACAGACATTTATGTCTGGTACCAAAAACCATGCTAAATTCAAAGTCACCAAATTGGTATTTTTTCCTCCATTGTTTTTGACTCCAGTAAGTTTTCTTTATCACGTTGATATGACTCAATGTACGGAGTTCCTGCCTTGTCACTAACTGACTCTATTTATGTTAACAAGCTATTTAAATCGTGTCATACAGAGTGGCCCTGGAGTGTTTATGTGGAGGTTATCATTCAAGGTGATGAAAGGGTGTCTATTGTTTCAGGTGATGTGCACCATCGTGTGATCCCAGACCCTGGGCTGATCAATCCTCGGACACTGGATCTGCTAGTCAATGCAATCGCCATCAACAGCGCCTACACCTCCAAGATCTTAGTGAGTAACCCTCAGACAAATGCAAATATTTATTCTTTAAAGCAGCATTTGTTTTTAATAATAAGATCCTGGAAATAATGTTGTCTTCTTTAAAGGGGACTTATTATCTAAAATTCACATTTTGCATGTCTCTATATTTCCACTTGGGTTTCTACTGCTCCTGAAAACAGCCCAAGTACTTAAAAAACCCCATCCAGTCAGTTATTAGCAATAAGTTATGAGCCATTTCAAAAACCTACGGAAATCAGCAGGCACTGTCTCTCACCTCGCAACCCCAGTGCACGTCGCCTGTCACCTAGCAACCCAAGCAGAGCTCCAACACATTTGGTCAGCTGGTTTTAGCACTGTATGCGCTGTACAGTGACTGATGGTTAAAGACAAATGTTGTATTGTTGATCTACCCATAACCACTTGCTTCATTATGGTTGGTTGTGCAGGAGGCTCCACTTTTGCTTCTCAAAGTTTGTGTAATTGTTTCATTTTGCAGCCATTTTCGCATGCTTGTGACCCATCCTAACCTGTTCAATGAAGCGTAACTGCTCACCTTTAAATCTTTATCTGTTTCACTCATCCTTCCTTCCTCTTCTGTCTCTTCCTCTCTACCTCTATCATGCTAATTTGCATCACCTCTATTCTTTAACAGCCTCCGGACGTGGAGGGGGGTCTAGCCAAGCAGGTGGGCAACAAAACAGAGTGCGGCCTGCTGGGATTTGTCTTAGACCTTCAGCGGGACTACACCCCTGTAAGAGAGCAGATCCCCGAGGAGAAACTCTACAAGGTAGAAAATCACAAACCGAATTCAGTTTCTAACATTTCCCCTTAGATCACAAGTACGTAAGACACCCAGTAGATGAAAAAAACATTTGGTTTTCTTCTAGATTTTTCTTTTTGCCTAGATGTTTTTGCTCCCTCCTTTTTCATTTGCAGGACTTTTAAACACTATTCAGTTTTAGACTGCACTATAAATTATGCTCCCCTTCATCAGAACGTCTTCAGTTTCCTCACATCATGCAGAAATATGTCTTGTTTTTGACTCAAACAACTAAAATGAAAATGCAAGAAAAACTATTTAACTAAAACCTGTTGCATGTGAAGAAAAAATAGTTTTTGTGTAGCTGTGATCAGGTTTAACCCCAAACTAGTTTCATTCTGGGATGTTTAAAGTAGTTTGTATTATGGCTCCTTGACATCTGTAAAATCTGTATTGAAGTATTTGGCAATATAATTGCTGAATGATTATATTGATTATCCCACATTCTTTTCTTTTATTTCCTTCATCACAATGTCCCCATCAGTGTTTGTTAGCTTTAGCATCCCAGCCACCAAAAAAAACCCCAACTATATAATGTGTGGGATCAACAGCAGGAAACCCTAATCGAACAGGCCTAAATATATTATTGATATGACAAATTTGCACGCCTGGTGCTTGAAATATATCTTATTATGCCCAAGTGGTCTTTTGCAAATGGTAGATATTGACACATAAAATAATAATTGTAATTTGATACTTTGCCCAGGTTTAGTTGGTATTAATCTTTGTCACTCATCTTTCTCTCTCTCTCAGGTTTACACATTCAACTCAGTGCGTAAATCTATGAGTACGGTGATCAAACTGCCTGATGGTACCTTCCGCCTTTACAGCAAAGGAGCCTCTGAGATCATGTTGAAAAAGTGAGTGGAGCTTTTAATTCATGAACTTCATTTTTATTACGGCTGTTTTAAAATTCGGTCTCACTGATTTGCTTTCTCATCAATCAAAGATGTCCGAAAGCAGCGAATAAAAACAGATTGTGTTGAAGCTTAGTGAAAAGTTTCAATATAGCACTTAAGATGTCATTCTTTGTTTTCTCTCTCAGGTGTTCCTACATCCTGGATGCCAACGGAGAACCTCGAAGTTTTCGTCCACGCGACAGAGATGAGATGGTCAAACAGGTGAGGCTGATTCATGCGTGCATATTGAATTAATTTACTCTATAATCAGAGATGATAGTCCTGCAGATAGAGATGTTGATGAACAGTAAAAGTAAATCTCATGCTGGTAAACCCTAGCTGAGCTTTGATTAAAAGTTGTTCAGTGGGGAAGCAGGTGAGAGGCTCTGCAGATCATATTAATAATTTCAAAGAAATGCTGTGATTCAGAATTCCACATTGCTGCTGTATTTTAACTAATTTCATTCCTCTTTTTAAATCGAGTTCTTGGAAAGATGAACAGCTTGGTCTTTTCAGCTTAAACTTAGCAACATAGCAAATAAATGGTAGCACATTATGTTGGCACATTTATTATGGCTTGGGGAACTTAATGGGAAATAATAACTTAACAGTAAAGATAGAAGAATTTGGCTGAGACGAACTAGTCTGTTAAATTTGCCTATTAGAAGGTAAAAAATAAAATCTATTCAAACTATCTGGTCTTATTGGGAAAAAAACCATAACCTGCTCTTAAACCTTCTCTTTAAATAAAAGAACCTGTGTAAATAGCATATGTTTAAACTGTGTTAAATGTGCATAATGCTGCTGTTACAGATTTGGATTTGTTCTGCTAGTGTGTATGTTGCTTAGTTTGAAGGTTTTTTTTCACCATGTGAACGGATTCTTCCTCCTCTCCAGTGTAATTACTGTTTTATGAGGCGTATATTGTGATTTTGATCCCAAACTTTGATGCTTTATGCTTGAAACATGAGTAAAGGTAGTTTTTATAAGACCAGCCAATCATTCTAACACAAAGACTGCTGATGAAGTTATAATATAAGCTCCCATTTTTCATGCACATTTACTGTGTAATTAGGATCTGTTAAGTGAGCTGCCATTGGAACAACATGAAGATAATGTTGCACTGCTGCTGACTGCCTGATTTCCATGATCAAAATTATTTTCTACATTAACAGTTTAAGCTTTCAATTTTAAGTTACTCAAACCTCCACAAGCATGACGTTTAAACAAAAATGTGACATCAGCTTTGGCAGACTTACATTTTTACAAGCTTGTGTGGCATGTGAAAATAGCCCTATCAGCTTTACTGTAACACAAACGTTAGCAAACAAACGCATGTATTTGTGAATTTTCTGAGAGTTTGCAGCCTAAGCGTGGCGTAATTGACTGACAGGCGGACAGATCTAAATTTGGCTCATGATGAACACAGCTTGTGCCGTGAGAAAAATAACTGCTCCTTCCACGACTCGATTCCAGCTCAGTAGTTGAGTTTGCGTTGTGGCAGCTTCATGTCACCTCGTTTCTGTGTCACGCTGCGCCGTCTGCGGCAGGCCGGGGGTCTTTCCCTTCAGCTGCGTCACATCGGATCCATCATGACTACACCTCAGACCTCATTTCTGCTTTACATATATCGGAATCCAAATGACTGGTGAAGTCAGCACTGTGATGGGTTTTATTAATTGACTTCTAGGTAATTGAACCAATGGCCTGTGAGGGCTTGAGGACCATCTGCATCGCCTACCGTGATCTGCTGCCAAATCCGGAGCCGGAATGGGACAACGAGGCGGAAATTGTGACAGAGCTGACCTGCATCACTGTGGTTGGAATAGAGGACCCTGTGCGGCCCGAGGTATGTGGCTTTGAAGGGGTGCTGAAGCTTTGCAGTACATGAACTCTTTTACGCCGTCTGTCTGAAGCATGATTGGCATTTTGTTTCTGTGTAAATAAATTCCTTTGACCTTTTCGAGGTGCCGGAAGCCATCCGGAAGTGTCAGCGCGCGGGCATCACAGTGCGGATGGTAACTGGTGACAACATTAATACAGCGAGGGCCATTGCTGCCAAGTGCGGCATCATACACCCCGGAGACGATTTCATCTGTCTGGAGGGAAAAGAGTTTAACCGGCGAATCAGGAACGAGAAGGGGGAGGCAAGTCTGGGTCTCTGTCCTTTTAACTCCGTCAAGTTAAAAGGAACTTCAGTGTTCCGACCACGATGCATTTCATTCTGTTTAATACAAACGTTTTAAACCCAATCCTAGTTTCTTCATGATTTGCTCACATCAGTCTGGTTCTTTCTGATGTTTCAAAGCTCATTTTTAGCTGTTGTAGATGGATTTTTTTTTTCCTTTTACTTTAAGTAATTACAGATAGATTGTATTTAAATTAATAGCAGCCCGCCAGGGAACTACAGATGAAAATTATCTCTTGTTGCTAAATCTGGCATGTTTACAAGGTCATTCTAATGGACTCATGTTGATTAATATAAAATGTCCCTTATGAAATAAATTCAAATTCAATTTCTGGTAGGTATAAATTGCCAATATATAGTTTTTATGACTTCTTATAATAATCAAAATTTGCAACGTAAAAAAATAGCAGCCAAAGAAAAACAATTTTTCGATTGACTATTGATTGAAATAATTTTGAAATCCTTTAAGAAAGTCTGACAAATATAAAACTTAATTTAAAAAAACTAGAAGTGTCTCTTGAGATTTAGTTCTCAGACACCATGTGGCCAGTGAGAATTTTTACATTTAGTTTTGGCCTCTTGTTGCTGAATTTAGCTGATTTTGACGCTCTAGTTTTAAAAAATATGACATAAGAAGATACCAGAACAACATTCAAAAGCTTTTTGTAGCCTCTGAGCAGCCTTTAGTCATTCATATTAGAAGCAGAGGTGACGTCACACTGTGTGGCAGAGGGGTTTTTGTAAAATAGGATTCAAAGATTACTTTAAAACATCCACAGATTGATTGGGAATTGATAACATAAAACATAAACCAAACCAGCATTCTTGTATCAGCTGAAAGTCTCACTGAATAAACTCCAAACATTTCACGTTGAGGAAAACATCTTTAAACAACTTCTGACAAATCAGTGCTTTGTCTTTAATACTTCAAACAAAATAACATGGAAGATTTCTTAACTTAACTTCACTTTTAACAAGATACACGAAAGAGTGTTCTTGATATCTCTTGTGAAGACCAGTCAGTCGCCAGTCATTGCCATTCAAGCTGAACATTGTTCAGTTCTGGTCACCAGCAGATTTCTTAGTGTAAAATGTTGTAGCTAGAGACCAACCAAACCATGTTTATAACATTTTCCATGTTATGAACCTGACGGTGTCGAGTCCACATTTTTTAAAAACTAACAAGGAAGACAAAGAAAATGGTTTTATCGTCATTAGCATCAGTATCGGTCGATGTTAGCCATTTTTTGTCCGCATATGGGTGCTCTGGAAAAGTGATTCTTTTTAAAATATTATTGTCTATAAAGGCACTTAAATTTACAGCTTTTCATTTCGTTTTCTATTGAAACATTTATAAAAGGTGGCAACACAAAGACAGACTGATTACTGTAAGAAACGGAAATGGAAATAGAGTGAGATATTCACCATATTAAGGTTTCTATTGCAGCTTTGTCCTGAAGTGGCTGAATCCAGAGGTCAGAGCACAGAATAAAAAAGTAAAAATCAACATTTATTCAGAATACTTTCATCCAGCCCATTTAGCTGTATAATTTGAATTTAGCAGAAAGCTTAATGAGATAGGTAGCTGATTAGTGCTGTGGCTTTGCTTTTCTAAGGAGTGTGAATTTAAATATACTCCCTAAAACATAGGTGTAAATCCTAATTATGCCAACAGTCTGCGGCTGATTGAATGGAAGCGCGGAGCACAGTGTCTCTCTGATCCTGGTTCCTCCATGGAGCCCAGGATTAACAGTGACATCTAGCGAAGCACTGCTGAGTTGGTTCTTCTGTGTTAATCTTCATCACACGCGCTTCCTTTTACAGATTGAACAGGAACGTATAGATAAAATCTGGCCCAAGCTGCGCGTGCTGGCTCGGTCCTCGCCGACAGACAAGCACACGCTGGTTAAAGGTGAGGCTCCGGGGTTTGATCACTGAAGCACGAGTGTGCTTAGACATCACAGGAACATTCTGAGCCTGTTTTGCCCTCCTCTAGGCATCATTGACAGCACCGTCGTGGAACAGAGGCAGGTTGTCGCGGTAACAGGAGACGGGACTAATGACGGACCAGCTTTGAAGAAGGCTGATGTGGGCTTTGCCATGGTAAGCTGATCCATAATTATTCACCTATAATGTTTATGAGCTGCTAAAGGCCCACTATGCCTCCATTTGTGTTGGTGTATTTACAGCTGAAGCTTTAAGTGGCTCTTTATGTGCTGGGCCAGGCTGATGAGGAATTGGCATTTTGTGGACAGTAAAAATGGCTCGTTTTCCTGCACAGTGCATAGAATTACCACAGCAGAATGGCAGTCCTTATATTTTCTTCTTTTAAGTTACTAAACTCAAATTATGTGGTTTATTTGTTTCAAACTGAGAAAATTACAAAATGTGAAGGAAGACACTACTTCTCCGTTTTACTCTTTAAAAGGAAACATGGTTGACTAAAGTATTGCAAAATAGTACTTTTTCACAAACACAATTAAAATCGTAATAACTCTAAGATAGCACAATCAAATCTGAATAAACAGTATAATCAGTACCAGACTGGCATTGTGTTAAAAGCTAAATAATTAAAAGTAAGTTTTCAGGTGAGCTTTGGGGCCACAACAGAGAAAAACTGATCACATCTCAGTTTCCTCTGTGATTTAAGAACCACCAGCAGAATCTGGCCAGGTAACCCGAGGGATGAGGCTTAGGGCTGCAACAGACTGGAAAAACATGCTGGTGCATGGCCATTAAGAGACTTAAGAAACAAATAAAATAAATTTATAACTGACCCTGAAATTTACAAGCAGCCAATGCAAAGAAGCTAACACCGGACTGATGGTCTCCTGTTGGTTTGTGCTGGTTAAAAATTATGCTGCTGCATTGGAAGTGACCTCGCTAATCTCTGTTAATAAAAAGAGCAGCAATAATTCAACCGGAAGGTTTTGGAAGGATGGTTTACGGATGAAAGAGGATGATTTTACCACAGCATTGATGTTGTTATCAAACCTACAGACATCCATCTTAACACCTAAGTTGGCAACAGCAATCTTCAAATGAGGGATCAAAACAGAGATCAGCTCAGGATGGAAGATTTTTAGACTGATAAAATAAAATGTTCATTAAAATAAAATAATAAAACATTAGGGCCTTCCATGATTTGGTGTCAGCAAAACAATCAAGATGAACCAAAATATTTGGTCAAATGTTGTCTTTGCAGTGTAAAAGACCTCTTTCTCCTTGATTGTCACTTCTGAAACATCCAGCTGCTGCTGCCCATCAGACTTGAGCTTTTTATGGATAAAAGTTTAAAGTGTAGAGTCTCTCCGTCCTCGACACAGATTGTAAACCAGCTGATTGCTGTCTGAGGAAGACCTCCACATTGACTGAAGTGAACCTTGAGTCATGTCACGTCCCTCTGTCAGCCAAAGGATTTCTGAAATGACTTGTTGGTTAAATTTGGAAGGTGGTTTAGAGGCATTGGTGCTGTCAGTGACTAACAGAGGCAACTGGATTCACAGTTGCGTTGTTCTCTGTTGCATGTTTTTATTTTACACAAGAGGCCGAAAAACACATAAGGTCGCGGGTCCTCCCGGCCCAGCCGGTTCTACAGTCAATGCTCTTACTCACGTCAAGTGGCAGCGCTCAGAGGCAGAACAACACGATATCGAGACAGTGGCATTCCAAAGTAATTTGGATGCTTGAACGCTTTCATGAATCATGTCATGAGTCGCGTTCCTCTCACTCCGTCTCAATCTCTTCCAGGGTATCGCCGGGACAGACGTGGCTAAAGAGGCGTCCGACATCATCTTGACTGATGACAACTTCAGCAGCATTGTCAAGGCCGTGATGTGGGGACGAAATGTCTACGATAGCATCTCCAAGTTCCTGCAGTTCCAGCTCACGGTCAACATAGTGGCTGTCATCGTGGCCTTCACCGGGGCGTGCATCACTCAGGTGGACACATTTCTTAACACTTATACATGCTGACAAATTTCCACACACATGCAAAGACACACACACACTCACACACACACCTATACATAATGCGGACACATAAATGTCACTTCTGGAAGATTCACTCACCTTATATCTGGGTTGACAAGGCAAAGCAGGAAATGCTTTTATTGCATTTTTAAACTACCCTTTGTAAGCAGAGATGTCCTGGCAGAATCACATTCATTCATATGAAAGGAATGTCAAACTGCACATGGATGTATGTGTTAAAAATACAAGGAATTTTTTTTCGTATAACTATGATTGAAATAAAGTTATTTGACAGGTAAATCATAAATAAGCCAGTGAAAACACCTGAATATGTGACAGAAGCAATAAAACGGAGCAACCTGTATGTGGTAGTGTGACCAGCACAATACAGGATGAGATTTTATCAAGACATTTAGAGTAAACGTCTCAAACTTTACAAGTTGCGTGTTTAATGAACTGTCATCAGGTCCAGGTTTGTCTCGTCCATATTTTTACATTTCTACGCTCGTCTAATTCGGAGTTGGTTTTAATGCCAAAGGTTGAAAATTCTTCCTGTGTACTTTCACAAATATAAAAAAAATGTTTCACTGTAATCTGAAACTGTGTTTGAAGGAATTGCTGCTCAGTGCAGAATTATCTGGCTCAGGTTTGATCAGTCTAAGTAGATTTTGAGGGAATGATTTTTAAAAGTGTTTTCCAGGAAGGAGTTGGGGAGATCCTCAGTGCTCTGTCATCATTCCTTTTTCCATAAAGTTTCCAAAACAAAGTCAAAGGCCCTATATTTAAAAAAAAAAAATAATTAAAGTATGAATACTCCATTTAATGATTGATTCCTAAACTAGTTAATGATCATTTCAATAATCAATTAATCCAGATTCATTTGATGAATCATTTCAGCCCTACATTAAACATGTGTAGTTGGCCTGTAAACAATGAGTCTAGCAGCCACAGATCCCTGAGGGCCTGTCTCATCTCAGCATGGTTTATGAAACAGGAAAATGTCTCTGCAGGATTCTCCTCTGAAGGCGGTGCAGATGCTTTGGGTGAATTTGATCATGGACACGTTTGCCTCGCTCGCTTTGGCAACCGAGCCCCCGACTGAAGCCCTGTTGCTACGAAAACCCTACGGTCGAAACAACCCGCTCATCTCTCTCACCATGATGAAGAACATCCTCGGCCACGGAGTCTACCAACTGGTCATCATCTTCACTCTGCTGTTTATAGGTACAAATTCAACCAAATACATTTTTACCAAATTCCTAATCCATTCTAACTATTTATCTATCGAAGCACGTAGCAAATCTAAACCTTCTTGCAGTTCATAGAAAGTCATCCTGGAAGGACTGGAAGTGACAGTAACTGGCCAAATGGGAGAAACAATTTCTCCGCTCAAACTAAAGTTGGTCCATGGAAAAAGACATATTTACGAGTTCAAACATGGACGTTGTTTGTGCAACCAAAAATGTCAGATTACTTTTGTCAAAGAAAGCAACAGAACATAATTCTGCCCTAGTAGATACACACACACACACAGCCAGCCAGCCTAGCAGTTGTCTGACTCACCGGATGTCTGCTGTTGGTAATTGGCCTGGTCATGCTTGTTTGGGAATGCTCAAACGAACAGCTACAGGCAACATGGCTGTTTTTATTTGACTTCTCTTCAAGTGAGCATAAAGGTCTTTTTCTGGACGTGTAACTTCAAGGACAATAGATGTCCAAGGACAACAGGAAAATAAAAATGAAAATAAAGAGTTATGTCCTTTACCAGTGCAGCAAACTCTCAGAGGATTCAGAATTTCAAACTGGCCTCTAGAATAGTTTGAATTAAGCAGCTTTTAGAAAACATTGTATTCCAAGTTAGTATTTTTTACAACACAAGGTTAGCCTTTAGCTAAATGCATTCTTCTGCATTGTGTGTGAAAAATGTTTTTTTTTTTACAGTAGATGATCAAATAAATCATGTTTTTAAGAAACAGAAAATAACTATATTTGGCAAAATACAGACAGTGGCAGCATAAGGTTTCCTCTCATTACCTCTCTATCACCCACCAGGCGAGCGCATGTTTAACATCGACAGCGGTCGCAACGCACCGCTCCACTCCCCGCCCTCCGAGCACTACACAATCATCTTCAACACCTTCGTCCTCATGCAGCTTTTCAACGAGATCAACGCTCGCAAGATCCACGGAGAGAGAAATGTCTTTGACGGCATATTCGGCAACCCCATCTTCTGCTCCATTGTTTTGGGGACCTTTGCAGTGCAGGTCATATTAACCCTTTGACACACATTCAATGGTCAGAAAAAAAGATGTTGCAATGTTCTGTTTGTTGTATGGTGTTTTGCTTTTATGTGATATTCAGTTCAATTTTAATTAAGTTTATTTATATGACCCCAACTCACAACACTTGCTGTCTCAAGGCAATATACCACTTTCTTTTTTCACTTCCTGAGTCCTTTCTTGTGTCTTTCCTTCCTTCTGCGTCCTTCTTCTACTCCCCTTTCTTTTCTTCTTTTGAACTGTTCTTCCCTTCTTGTACATCTAAATTATTTCTTCCTTCCCATTCTTATATCACACCTCAATTAATTATTTTCTTGTGAGCCTTGTTCTTTTCTTCCTCATGTCTTTTTTTCTTTGCTGCCTTTCTATCACTCGTTCCTCATTACTTTGCATCCTTCCTCTTCCTGGTTTTGGCTACATTTTAAGAAATGTTTGTGGAAATATCTGCCAGATAGTCAGTGCTACTGTCACGCTTTAAAAGGAATCTCAAGGACTGAAAACACTGGATATTTGAGTTTGAATAAGTACAGAATTTTTAAATTACAAATGTTTTTTACAGTATAAAATAATATTGTAACAACAGTATAAATATTACTTTAGCTGGAGTTGGAATAATTGCTCCGTTGCTGCAATAAATAAAACAGAGGAAAATATTTCAACTTTTCTTCACTTTAAAGTATTACATGCAGCTCAGAGAACAACATTTTGTCTGTCTGTGTTCCTCGACACATAAATCTACCAGAAATCTACAGCGACTAAAACAAGCAAACCAGATGAAGCATTTTGTGTTTCATAATTATTACAGTAATGACCTCTGTGTGCAGCTCTGCTGTGTGTTTCCGTGTGTCAGAGTCATGACATTCTCCTTCCTTGTGCTTCTGCTGCAGATTGTGATCGTGCAGTGGGGAGGGAAGCCCTTCAGCTGCGCCCCTCTCAATGTGGAGCAGTGGCTCTGGTGTCTGTTTGTGGGTGTTGGAGAGCTGCTGTGGGGGCAGGTAGGAAGCTTCTCAGCCTGCTGCATCTTATCCGTCAGCAGCGGTCAGCCTGGGTTTCCCTCAGAGGAGACCAAGGGAAATATTCATAAACTAATCTTAGAGTCTTCTCGCAAGCAGCCAGACGGATTCAGTCCCAGCGTAATGGCAACTGTGTTGTCCGGTTGGTCAACTTGTCTTTTCCTAAGCTCTTTATAATTTCTCACACATCTTTAAAAAAAATCTAATATAAGAAGAAGATATATGTGCTGCAATAAGACTTACGCTAAGCTGTAATGTGAGTCCCTAGTGTTTAAAAAAATCAACTGAAACTTGTACCAAATTATTTTTCAAAAATATTTCGAATCAATCACACATACATTCAAATTGGTCCTAGTTATCAAACAGTTCATAAAGTTTAGTTTATTATTAGTTTCAAAATTTCAAACTTTATAAACTACTGAAATCCACCAGAGAATCTAGTGGAGAGGAATGACTCCCCTTTGACATGAAGAAACCTCCAGCAGAACCAGAACCTGGATTCTTTAAAAACTCAGCTCTGACTTTGTCTACATCAAATTGTTTTCTCAGTATGTCAAGTGTTGCTGGAGTCTTTTCCTCACCAGTTATAGTGACGTAGCATTCTGTGTCAATAGTCATCACAGTAGATCCATCTTACCTGCTTATTGTATCGACACTCTGAGCTAAGTGTCAATATCGTTATATCGACACTTAGCTAGCTGGATGGTCTTGCAGCTTACTGCCTCAGGTTGGTTCAGCTGTTTCTTCTGCCTTCATGTTGAATCTTCTAATAAAATCCCTTATACTTGTTCTGAAATATTCCTTGTAGTTTGCATAGCCTGCATGTGGTGTGGCTTTTGTCTGAGTCATTTTCTCCTTCGTGCAGAGGAAACAGGATCCTGCGTTTATGAACTGTCAGGCTACTGAGTTCCGCCATCTGCATTACTCAAAATTAGGTCATAAATTAACATTAAGATAATTGAGTTTTGACATTTGTTAATTGGGTCAGAATCTGCCATTTCCGCATCTCAGATCATCAAAATAGATTTCATACTTCCCGCCCCTGGCAACACAGCTCTGTGCACTGTTGAGTGTTTGGATGGATCTGGATCTGATCAAGTATCGGCAGAACAGCAAATACAAACAGAGGTTACTTGCCTTATGTGGCTGTGGGAATTTCCCAGTAAAAAGATATGGAAACACTGTTTCCTAGGAGTATACAGTAAAAGATCTTCTCAGGTGTTGCAGGAACAGATACAATGAAATAAATGATTTTCCCAAAAGAGTCTGGACTGGGACCAGGTGGATGGCACGTCATGCCACAAGCAGGAATGTGTTTTCTGACTGTCATAGTAACCACATTTCAGCAAAGAGGAAATGTTTTTCACCCAAGGCCCCAGAGATGCCTCTAAAGCCCTTCAACCACAAAAAGGGCACTTAAACATAAGCATCAACATTCAAAAATCATTGGAGAAATACATTCAGATTCAGGCATGAATATTACAGTCATTATTCATAAACTGTATTTTGTAGGTATTTAAAACAGTGACACAAATGACCTTTTCTGTTGGTCTCTCAAATTTGGAGATGCAAAGCACTTTAGTCAGTGTCAGCTATTAGAAAAAACACTTTTCCCACACATTGATATTTTCGATCTTCTCTTTCATAAACTTCACCATTTGAACCCAAGTACAGAAGATCTCTAGTATCTGTGATTAGATTCCACAACTGCCCTTGATTCACTAAAACCTGCTGACACTTGAGACCGCCACAAAAAATACTTCTATTTCATTGGTTTAAACACCAAATATACCTTGATATGCATTCATACATGCAACGAAAACTGTTTAGCCCAGAAGCTAACATTCACGGTCTTCCTTATTTACACTCCAAGCTGCTCTGCAAGCGCTAGATAGTTTTACTTCCCAATCTGTATTTGTTTTTGATTATTTTTGACAGGAATAGAGCCAAGAATTGGCAAATTTTTCGCATTTAATTTCGAGTGTGCTCCACACAAAAATCTGCAAATAGTTGAATACAGAAATACTGAACCTTGAATATTTATTCTGAAATTGGCAGGACCATAATCCAGCTTTATCTAAAACTGCTTTGCTTCTCCTTGATAATCACTGAACTGATTGTGTTAATACCAACAAATGTGTTTCCCAGGTGATTGCCACTGTGCCAACAGAGCGGCTGCCATGTCTGAAAGAGGCTGGGCTTGGCCTGGAGCCTGGGGAGGAGGAAGGAGAGGAGCTAGCGGAGGATGAGGAGGAGATTGACTGTGCTGAGCGAGAGCTGCGTCGCGGACAGATCCTGTGGTTCAGAGGCCTCAACCGTATCCAGACTCAGGTACCACATGACCGGACCTCCAGTTCAAACCGTAACCATTACTTTGTCACAGGAGCACACACGGACACTCAGACATTTCAACCTGAACCTTCACTCGGTCATGACACGTGTGCAGTTTGTTTGAGGAGATTTACCGAAAAACGAAATCCGTGCCTATGCAATTTTATTGTGCATGATATTTGCACTGCTTCATCAAGTGGTTAATAAATGAATGCAAATCATTCAGCATTATTTGTGTAATGTAGCACAAGCCCAAATAAACTGCCAGTATCATGGTCTTCTCATGCTAACGGAGCAGACTTTTGTAAAGAGATAAAGAACTCCTTAGAACCTCTCTTTGTTTTTGAGCAATTTTAGAAAACTTTATGGCCTTTATCTGACTTGTTCTTACTCTTCAAAAGTCAGTCTATCTCATCCAGTCTCTGTTGTTCTTCTGTATTGTGCCAAACATAATAATTTCTTTTCTCTCCGACACAGCTGACATTTCTGTTCTACCTAACTCCTCTCGAAATGGCTTTCGATCTATCTTGGAAGTGGGACCATAGAAGCACATGGTCACTATGAGGGGGATAAATGCTGTGGCTGTTTATCTGTGTTCCTGTGTGTGTGTGTGTGTGTGTGTGTGTGTGTGTGTGTGTGTGTGTGTGTGTGTGTGTGTGGAAAGGATAATTCTTAGTCTCCAAGGTGCTTGAGTTTGTTATATAATGAACTCACTGTGAAGATGAATATTTACCTGCATGAACGCGAGCTCTTCTCAGAGCTTCTTAAGTGCCTCCCTTATATGTGCTCAGTCTTCGATGAGATTGTTTGGTCTGAACACAGAAGTATGCAAATATACCGCCTTGAACCAAGTCTTTGATATTTTCCACTTGAGCAGCCAGATTTTCTTGTAATCTTGTAAAGAGGTCTCAATAGTTCTTCAGACATGCTGGGTAGGTCTGCCCTTGGCCTGCAGCTTTTAAAAGAGCATAAATGCAACATAAATGTATCTTTGGCGCACTATTTCGAGATGTATTTTAAATATGAGAGAACATATTTCTTCACCCAAATCAGTGGGTGGAGATTTTTTTGCAGATAAAAAGTTTTGAGTCAGTGCGAAAAATAATTTTCTCTCAGAGGCCACATTGGCTTTGCCTGTCATCTGCGTGTAGTCGAATAAAAGCTCCTATAGCTCAGCTTTTTTCCCAGCCAAGAGTTTTTCACAATCCTTTACCTTTTCAGTTTTGGTTTGTTCTTTATTGCAACTATGAATAAAACTGTTTGATCAAGCTAAGGATATTTTTTCTTAGATATTTAACACCAAATAAGTTACCTCACTTCAATCTGACAGCCATATTTTTAAGAAGCAGGAAAAAAGTATATATATCAAGACCTGGCAGAAGAATCATTGTCTTTTGATTGTCTATGCTGTGCTTTCTGCTAACAGCTCTTTGGAGATCACCATGATTGAACTGAAATCCTGTTTTCTGTGGGATTTTTCAAAGATTCAACAAGAAAAAGTTGGATAAATTGACAGGCTGCTTGAAACAGAATGTTTAAAGTCCAACATTAAACAGATTATTTTATCCATAAAAAGTCTTATTAAAAGTAAGGCCTTAAAATGTCTTAAATTTAAGTAAGTTGACTTTTACTCTTGTATATTATTTTATTTTTATCTTGCGAGTCTTTTCTCAGGAAAATTCTGACACACGTAGACATCTTAATTGCGTTCTGTGAGTTGAGACGGTTGAGGCTATTGCTAACATCCTGCTAACATACCCTTGCTAGCTGGCTAGCTAGCGTTTTCAGACTATCATGGATAAGAGCAACTATATCACCAGAAGGTTGGATGAAGTTTGTATGTTTCTGTGGAGATTTATCTCTTCTATACCATTCATAGTGATCTTAAATGGTCTTAAAGTTGGTGAAACCAGCAGAAGCCCAGTCTAATGTGTAAAAACTTTAGGAGCCATTTTATTTTTATTTGGTTATGGTCAGAGACTGAGATGAAAATTAATGAATTAAAAAAAAAAGATTCCAAATATTTTTTTTTTTTAAATCTTCTGAAAACGTGGAGAACTATTGATGAAGACCGCTTTTGAAGATTTGAAGAAAGTGCAGCTGCTCGGCAGGAAAATGTAATCAAACAAGAGATGACCCAAGACTTTTGCACAGCAGTATTTTTTAGTGAGGGCAGGGAAAAAACCAAGGCCCCAGAAAACATTCCCCTAGTCACGAACACACTCGCAGGCCGGCCCCTCCTGCCCTCACCGAGTGATGCTGCTGTTTTGTCTCTGTCCTGCAGATGGAGGTAGTGAGCACATTCAAGCGAAGCGGTTCGTTTCAGGGAGCGGTGAGACGGCGCTCCTCCGTGCTCAGTCAGCTCCACGACGTAAACACTATCTCTACCCCCTCTCACGTAGCTCTCTCCACCGCAACAGCCAATACCAGCCCAGCCCCTGGGAGTGAGTTCGCCGAAAGCATGCACACACATCTCCCACACACACGTACTTGCACACACTCATCCACAGACACAAACACATGTAAACACACTGCTGCACGGCACGTGGACTGCGGTATTTTTACTCTCTCTGGTTGTGTCCCCTCCGGCTCGCCCGCTGCTCGTGTGTGTGCAATGTCTCCTCTTGTTTTTTGGTTTTTCCTTCTTACTCTCCCGTTGGAACAGCACCCAGTCCCGACCGGCTGTGTGGTTCTGGTCTGATCTGGACTGGTCCAATCCCAGTGTGGCTCTCAGGCCAGAGTTTGTTTTGTCGTTGAGTGTTGGTTCGTGCAGGAGGCGGCTGACCGCTCGCTCTCTGTCTCTCTCTCTGTATGAGGCGTCCCGTGACACAATCTTCAAACACAGATTGGGACTGATCATTGATAAAAAGAAGACGATTGATTTTCAGATGTCACCGGCGTCCTGAAGTTCAGGGAGTGAGCAGCAGCTCCTCCTGCACCACCTATTCTTCTGTTTGCATATGAGGTCAAGCGTAGTTCTTTTGGTTTTGTTTACTCCTAACATCTCTAACAAGTGGTGTCATTTCCTTACTCTTAAAACATAAATAAATAAGACAATATACTGTAATAATCATGTGATGACATTTTAATAATGGTACATTATATCTCACTGCATTCAATTCATATTCATCACCAAATGGCTTCCATAAGGCTTGTGTTAAGCTGTAAACCTTCGAGTATAAAAGCCCATGCCTCGCTGCTGTTTCTAAGAGTAAACGCAAGGAGCACTTCCCTCTTCCTCTCTCACTCTTGCTTCCTCTCTCCTTCCTCTGCTGCTGTCTTTTGTTTGGTTCTGCAATGTTGTCAACTGGTTAATTATGTAACAGTATTTCCAGCTCTGACGTCACACGTTTGGGTCCCCCGCGCCCCCCAAGCCCTGCCCCGACGTCTTCAGAAAGTCCCGACTTCTTCCTCTCTGTCCCAACCTTGTTTTTTGTTTTTTTGTTTTTCTTTTTCATGCTCCCTCTCTTTCTCACCATCACAGCTCTCTTCTTCTGTGTTCTCTATCCATGAAACGATACAGGTTCCCCGTTTGCGGAAAAGCACTCCTCGAAATGTCTTCTGACTGTTCTTCATACGTAGAGCTGTTCTGTTGTAGAGCTATTTAGATTGTAACAGATCTAAATGCAGGCTCTTATGTGTAGCATACTGATAAGATTTATTTAGTCCACTTTCCTTCCTTTTCCCATCCTGTTTTCCCCCGTTTTTTTGGATCTCACCTCATCCTTTTTGTCATCCTCCCTTGTTCTTAATAATATAGCTACCACACCTCATCTTTTTTTTTTCTCTTAATTTATTTATTTATTTTTTTGAATGTCAGTTCTGCGTGCGTCTGTTTGGAAGCCTGCAAAGATGTGCGTGCATATGCAGACATGTCGGCAAGCCGCAGCTTGACCCTTAGTGCAGTTACCTTAATAGTGCTTGTATGCCTGTGAATAAGTGTGTGCATGCATGTGTGCTGTCTCTTCATTTGGTTGTCTTCATCTGCCTTCTCAGTTGCTTATCTTTACCTTCCTTGCTCCTCTCCGTCACATCCCCTTCCCTCTCCACCTCATTCTACCCCACGCTGACCCTCCGCCACCCATACCCCTCCTCCCTTCATCACCTGCGGTGGTAGAAATAGAAAGGCCCGGGTCGATTGTTGTCATCCTGCACAGTCATGAGGACACACCTGGGCTTCATGTTTAGATTAAACATCCTTCACTTCAGCTCTTTGTAATATCATAAACAGTAAATGTGTTCAGATCTGCAAAAATTGGCTGCCAAATGACAGAAAATACAATAAACGCTGAAGTAGGGATGTTCAGTCAAAGTGTGGAGCTTAGCCTCAGGTCGGGCCTCATTGCCAGCTCATTGCTTGCTGTTTTAATTCTTTGAGTGTATTTTTAAAAGGCTTGGTTCTGATTGTTTTACTCAGTTCTGGACTGCGACGTAGTTTGCAGCCTCCGTCTTGTGGTTCAGTTCCAGACTCAAACAAACAAGGAGGGAAACGCAAAGGAGCAAGCACTAAGTTTGTGCGTGTACGTTTTACATGACGCAGGTTTACTTCTCTCTGAATCATGTTGCCAAGCAGCCTGCTGGGCGAGTAAAACACAGATTGTTTTTAGTGGTTTGAACTCTCAGAAAGGGAGGCTAGCTGGAGCTGTATGTATGTTTATCACTCTCGATTATCTTTAAAAGACATCTTCAGTTGAAATTGTGATCATTTGCTACGATCAACAAATCCCTTTTCAAAGAGCGGGGGCAGAGGGGAAAGGAGTTCCTGCTGGTGACGAGCGTCATGCTGCTCTTGTTTTATTCACTTATAGGTGCTGGATAGAAAACTCTTATCCGAATGGCGAATCTGCAGCCATGCGGCAGCTCTGAGAGCTTTCTGATTCATGCTTAATGCTCAAGTCAGCATGCAAACACGCTTACAGCGCCTGGAGGCTCACGTTTACAGCTAAAGCTGTTTGTCAAGTGCTGCTTTAATTAACACTGCCAATAAAAATTCCTGCTGAAAATCAGAGAAACGGCATTTGTCATGAAAGTATTTGATCCTGTTTTAAAGGGTTTTCACCAAATATTGGATCTTACAGTTATTTAGGTTATTTTAATCAGCCAATCACATGGCAACAGCTCAATGCATGTAAGCGTCTTAATGTAGTTAAGCATCAGAATATTTTGAATACAAGAAAAGTTTCTATGTGATAGTTTCATCCTTTGTGACCCAGATCTGTATGGAGAAGTAGGAAGCAGAGCATTGGTATCCTATGACAAAACCACATCGAGCCTATGGGTTAGTCAGAAAGAGACTGCTTTCACATGAACTGAACTGCTGTATCCTCATTTGTAAGTAGCTTTGGATAAAGGTGTCTCGCAAATGCATACACATGTGGATAACACCTGGGTCAAAATCCAAGCCAAAGAAATGGAAACCTGGACTGAACTTAGAGGAGAATAATTCAGGTTTACGATGGAGGATGTCAGAGACAACCAGCTACTATCTGTCTGATGAACATCAAGAAGGATGGAAGCCTCATCACCGACAGGTTTATAGAAAACCCGCGCACACAGATCAGTACCGACTTTTTGAATGTTGCCTCCCTCTGACAGAGTAGCTGTCAGTCATCAGAACTACATGCTGCATCGACCTGAACAGGACAAAAAGAACAAGACATAAACATAGACAGAGTTTATGGTTAATTGTAGATCTAAAAATTTACAATTTATTGAAATAAATTTTGTTGCAAGGCTCCAGTAATAATAAAATAAGTAATAATCGAAGCATCAATTTAAGTATATGCAATAAAAGATTAAGTTAGTAGAAGTTTAGTAGTCTTACAACATGAGGGATGAAGCTGTTGTGGAATCTGCTTGTTCTGCATTTGAAGCTGCTGAACCTTTACCCAGTAGGAAGAACACAAACAAATGAAGAAAGTACTTCCGGCCCTCTGTTTACCCAAACAGGTCTGATCTGGTAACCAGGGTCTCGGTACTGGTTCAGTCCAAAGATAAAACACCCAAATCTGTCAGCTCAGCAGTGTGGTGTATGGAGTCTAATGTTCAGGATTGTTCAGAACTCCACACTGGAGAAACTAAACAGCAGCTACACAAATGGATTGTCCAACACTGAAGAGTGAACTCATTGGCTCAGAAATCACCAGTGCAGGTACATCTCAGGGTCAAGGGTCACTGTGCTTAAGATGGCAATGCAAACATTTTGGACATGGAACACAGGCAGTTTGACGGACGTGTTGAGGATTTGAACATTGAACAAAAAAGAATAAATACTAAACCGAAGATGCGGCTTCTGGTTTCATTTAACCAGAGCAGCAGTTCATATATGATCAACCCACATGGCACCGCTTGGGACATGTTTGAATCGTCAAGTGACAACAACCCAAACAATGGACTAAATTTAAGATATGACCAGATGTGACCTTTATGGTCCATGAAGGTCATTGGTGACCTTCATGATTCTATTCGTGGGATTGTTCTGACTAAAGCTTACAAGTCTGTTACTTCCGATCTTTGCTCAGAACTGAAAAGTTTTTTTATATACACTGTTGCTGGTGTTGCTTCTAAGCTGACAATCATCCTAGGACGTTAGCCCAGCGTTTCTGTCTCTGAATGGATGCTTACTGGTTGGAGCTGGTTTTATAGAGCCAATCACAATGACATAGCAGGAAAATGGCTGAAAAAATAAGGAGATAAAATCTGTGAATGTGTGAATTGATCACAGGTACAACATATTTTACACTTTCGATTTATATTCAACTCCATTTTTATTCCACAGTTGTCAGCAGTTGCTAACACAAGAAAAGAAATTCAGCCTCTCTACCTCTGTGAGCTGATTTTAATTCTCTTTAAACAGATGATGTCTGAGTCCAGCTAAAGACCAAGTTCATTTTCTGCAATCCTTAATACTAAATCATAATAATAAATTATTAAATAATAAAAATAATAAATTTATGTTAGCTTTTATGCTGTTATGAAAGCTTAACATTCAGAACATCACTTTCAAAAATATTCATTAAATGTATTGATAAAGGGTTTGATTCTTTGTTTGCAGTCATCCTTTTTAGTGATGCCCTACAAAATTGGTTGTGCAAACTCTAAAATTAGTTCCAGCTAATGCTAAGGCTAAGGTTAAAGCTCTTCGTCAACATGGTATTTAACGGAAGCTAATGCTAAAGCGCAAAAGTCAACCAAGTTGTGTCATGTGTGTCAAGGTCAAATTTATTATTGTGCTTCAGGAAGTGATTCTTGAGAACAGACCTTTCACTCACTGTCTCAGATTTATGGTTTCACCAAACAAGTTGTTTGAAAAGATTTGCCTGTGATGAGGGTTTGTTTTATGTCCAGCTCTCACAGGTCAGCAGTTGTCTGATGGTTCTAGAGAAATGTCTTCCTGGATCTTGTTGCTTTTTGTGGTCTCAATTCCTTTGCTTTATTCCAAACTTTGCTAAGTTTATTTCTGGGACCAGGATCTCTACTAGTTAAAAACCCTTATATACTGTAAACTAAGTATGCCATAAGTATAAGTTTACTGTAGTCTAATCATTTTCCAATTTTTTTTATTGCTTTTTGGAAAAGATAAGGAACCAAATACATATAGGTAATGTAACTAAGAAACAGTTTAATACAATGAATGTCCTCTGTGTATCCTGGCTCTTGCTCAATGACAACTGGAGAGAGACACCAACCCTGACAGGACAAGCAGATATGGACAGGAGATGGATGGATGGATGGATGGATGGATGGATGGATGGATGGATGGATGGATGGATGGATGGATGGATGGATGGATGAAATGAAAAGGTAAAGTACAGTAATAGACATGCAGCAGGGAAATCATGAGCATCTGACAAGAAGCGTCAGCTAAACTGTAAGGAGATCCGCTGATGGCAGCAAATGACATTATGTGCCGTAGAGGAAGTCATCAGCCAGCAGGATCCAGGTGCAAAGCAGGTCAGAAGCCAAACCAACAGTAATCAAGATAAACATAAGGGAAAAACCAGCAAGACCAGAGAACAGGAAACTCAAAAAAACTATTCACATTTGATTTCTGTTAAATTATATTTCATACACATTAATTTTTAACAAGAAAACATGTGATTATGAAATCCCTAGCTTTGTGGTCTTTGTGGTTCTGTTGATGTCAGTCGGTAGAGGAAGAGGTCGGTGACGTTTGAGGAAGATGTTGATGTTTAATGCAGGTACACGTACAAGGTCAATCGTTTCATTCTGTTAGAGTTTTGTGACGATCTTTTTGAATCTTTGGAACTGATCATTTCAGACTGCAGGATGTACATTGTTTTTGGACAGGAAAGACGGTGAATGAGTTTGATGTCCAGATCTGAACTGGTGTCCGCCTTCAGCTGGGGGGAGGATGAGGAGAGTCAGTGGGGGTGTTTCAGTGGATGGCGGCTCAGTCGTTGCATCCTGAAGCGAGGCGACGCTGTGGGGGAACTTGTTCCATCAACCCGTCATCTACCTCAAAGCTTCTCCCTGTGTTTGTGTTGCAGTTGTTTTGCAGCTTCCCATGTCGCAGAGCCTGTTTCCTCCTCGATCTTTGACCATCGTTGTTTTTCCATCAAGCGCTGCTGAAAGAGCCAACAGGGAGAGAGAGAGAGAGAGAAAGAGAGAGAGAGAAAAGAAACAGATGTGTGAGAAAAATACGTAACCCAGCAGTGCCCTGACCTTCTGACCTCTCCGGTCACATTGTGGGCGTCATATACTCGAACGTTTACTCTTTTCATGAAGGCAAAATGAAAACACGCGAGCGCTGAAGAAGTGAGGCAGTAACATTCGGAACCCTCGTCAGTCTGCATGAGGTGTTTCTCTACTGTCTGAAAGGCTCTTTGGAAAAACAGATAAGCACTGAACCTACTGCTTGACCGTCTGTCTGTCTGTCTGTCTGTACACATGAGCCAGAGTCATATATAGAGACGTCAACTGCAGCACTGATCTCCATTGAGCTGTCTGACCGTTTGGACTCCAGTCAGTGTTGCGGTCAACGTAAAGCTTCATTATTTCGAGCTCATTTGGCCAAACTGTCTCTATGTAGGGTTCTGCCTGCCTCTGCCTGTCTGTCTGTATATCTGCACTGACCTGTCTTGATTTCTTTTGAGCTCATGCTGCTTCTTCTCCTCTGTTTGGGTTTGAGGGATGGTTGCATGGACCAACTGCCATGGCAAAGGAACATGTTCCTGCACGCAGCCACCATAAACTGCATAACGTACTTTAAAGTATACTCATGAAACTCGCTCTGGTGTGTGTGCGCGCGCGCGCATGTGTGTGTGTGTGTGTGTGTGTGTGTGTGTGTGTGTGTGTGTGTGTGTGTGTAGGAGAGTGGAAGAGAGCATTCGTGACACGGCTCTGATTCAGCATGACCTGGCTGCCTCTCTGTATGTGACGGGGCTGACGCCCGAGCTGCACTCTGGCCTTTGAACCAGTCACCTTCTGTTTCTAGTGATCTAGCGAATCACACACTCTTCTAACCCGCTGATTGTCTGTGATGGTCACTCTTCTGTTTTGCAGTATATTTGAATTTTTTTTATTATCCTGCAGCAACCTTATCATCAGCATCATCATCGTCATTTAAGTCACTCTGCTCTCGACGCTTGCATGGCTGCACAACAGTTTGCACATGTGCATGCGTGCGGGCAAGGAAAGATGCTGACTGCCTAACTGACTGACTCACTGTTTGGCTCTCCATGTGTTGTGTGTGTTTGAACCAACTCTCTTTAACAAACAGCCTAAATGACAGACAACTGTGTGATGCATGCAGACATCAGCCACCGAGCTTTACAATCCGGAGACGTCTTCAGCTTCTGGTTACTCACTTCTGCTGCATGCTTTTTTCTGTGTTCTCTCCATGTATGTGCGTGTGTGTGTGTGTGTGTGTGTGTATTAATTGCCATAGGTTCTTGCTAGCTTTTGTTTTTTGTTTTTACTCTACATGAAACTAACGCACTGACCATCCTGCTTTTCTCCATTTGTGCCTAACAATCATCTCTTTGTGCATGCATCTGATGCAGTGGTGTGACTGTATTACCACCCCAACACACACACACACACACGCACACACACTCACACACATTATTCATGGGCGTATGATGCTTCTGTGGTTTTTGTGGTAGTGGCAACTGAGTCGTTTTGTCTTTTCATGTCTGATTGATGTGTGAGAACTGACAAACCTATCATCATCCAACTAATTTTAAAATACATTTGTTTATTTATTCATTTTGTTTTTGGCACTTTTGGGACACACGATCAGGTGGATGTTGTGCTGGCGTTGAGCAACATATCTCTGCTGTCAAGGTCAAAGTTATTAACATCCACGTTTTGAGACATGTCCACTTCTGCAATTAATAAACCCATGAAGTTTATTTATGTAAAGAGAATCATGATGGTTTTATTTCCACTTATTCACACTGCAGTGGCTTTAAATGGACACTGAAAACCTCACACTGCAATTCAAGTTTAGCTTCTGTGTGTTTCTTAAGACATATGTTTCCAATCATAAGACTATTCCCATAAAGAGAGAATGGATACACAATAACGTCTATTTATCAGCACATATGTTTTCTGGAATGTTTATAAAGTTACAAACCTCGATTGAAAATTATTGGGAGTAAGCTACATCATACAGACTGAAAACAAAAGGAAACACCCTGGAAATAAATTAAATGTTACTGAGAAATACTGGAAAATAAAATAAAATAAAATAAAAATGTGTATTGTGAATTTAAACACTTCAAAATGGAAACATAATTTTACCTGACTTTTATTTAGCTTAGTATTAATATATCAGCCGTAATGAGAGAGAGGTTTACATAACCCCAACCCTAAAGCCCCAGCATTAGCTTCAGACTCTGTTGATACATTAACATTAGAAATAAGTAGTAAAAGAAAGAAAGAAAGAAAGAAACAAACAAACAAACAAACAAGAAAACTAGCAACATTTTCCTTCTAAACTTTTTTTTTTCATTAGCACTAGCTATAAGATGCTCAGCTCCATTCTTCTGTGCACCAGCTACTTGTTTGCAATAATTGTAATGTTGCTTTTGGAATATAATGACATAAGTGGAGAAAAAGCCAGCTTGTTGTTCACTGTGAGGTCAGAACTTATAATAAGGTGCAATAAAGAAAATGTAACTTGTTGATGCTTACAGATGAAAAGAAGAATCTATTCTGGTAAATAAAAAATATGGTTGATGCATAACTTAATGGAATATTTAGTGAAAGTGTCGAAAACCTAGTTATATGAAATAAAGAATGTTAAAATGCA